TAGACTCTTAAGACTCTGGTCTTAGTCCTCTCTGAACACTTATCATACCATATGTTGTATCATAATTATCTGTGCACTTTAACCTCCATCATCAGTTATTTACTGAGCACTTGCTACATTCCATTATCTAGGAACCAGAGTTGGAGTGTAAACCAGGAATCTAGTCTCTTTCTTTATATATTTGCTTATTTTGGACATTTCATACAAATGGAATTATGCAAAATATCATCTCTTGTGCCAGGCATTTTTCACTTAGCATCACATCTTTGAGACTGATTCAAATTGTAAAATCATTATTGCTAAATGATATTTGATTGCATGGACACATCACATTTTATTTATTCATTCATCAGTAAATGGACATTTGGGTTGATTGCACTTTTTTGTTTATGAATAATACTGTCACAAACATCTGTGGCACATAAGCTTTGTGTGTACTGGTTTCATTTCTCTTGGGTATACACCTAGAAGTGCAATTGCTAGTCATATAGTAACTATGTTTAACACTTTTTAAGAACTCCCCAACTGTTTTCCAAAGCAACTGCAATGTTTTACATTTCTACCAATAATATGTGAGGGTTACAACTTCATCACTATTGTCCCCCTCACTTTAGAATATTCTTATCCATAAGGAACTTATATTCTAATAGAATGAGACAGAAATAAAAAGGTTAATTTCAAATAATAGGGGGGAGGAGGCCATAAAACAAGATAAAGTAAGCAGGGAGTGTCTCACTAAGGTAGTCAAAAAGGACCTCTCTGAGAACATAATGCGACTTGAGATGTGAAGAGCTGAAAGGGAAACATCAAGTAATAAAACTGAGAAAAGAACAAGTTTGGTGTGTTCAAGGAATAAACAAGAAGCCAGTGTAACTGAACTATAATGAAGAGGCCGAGAGTAGAGATGAAATTGGGAGGTAAGCAAAAGTCAGACAATGTTGGTCCTCAATAGTATGGTCTTTGGATTTTACTAAACTGCAATCATTTTAAAATCCTTTACACTTCTTTAAATACAGGTGTTCATCTATGCAAACATTTATTAAACTTTAGCTTTTCTTCCAGTTGCATCTATGGCAGCAAGTATTAAAAAGACTAATGAGTACAGTAAATTCACACTTTTCAATCTATTCAATCAGTATCACTTTATTTTGTGACTCAAGAAAGAACATCTAAAACATGACTACCGGGCCTCCCCGGTGGCGCAGCGGTTGAGCGCTGGGTTGCGAAGCTGCCCGCGGCCTCCGATCCCCGGCTGCTCCCCGGCCACCAGAGGAGGGTCCCACATGGCGCGCAGACCTCTCCTGCCACCCGCTGCTCCCCCCAGCAGTGTACTTCGGTCTTCTGCCTGCTCTGCTCGCCGCTCTGGCTCTGGTGAATTCTCTCACCCTCCTGCGCTTCTGACTGTACCCAGTGCGTGTATAAACAAAAACAAACAAATAAATAAAAACATGCCTCTATAAAAAAAATTCTTTAAAAAAAAAAAAACATGACTACCAATGGTGCCTTGGTAACAAGAAATAAGCACACAAATGAATCCTTACAAAATTATCTCCAATTTAAGGTGCGTGCCTAACAGTTACTAGAAGCTCTATCCAGAATAGCAAGGTTATTTCAATACAGCAAGTCAATAATAGAGTTGCATATCAGTCTCATAATTTAAACCAAGATGATAGCTTTTCTCTCATTCTACTAATTAAAAATTTATATTCAGTTACTAGACCATAGGCACAATATAGTCTACATTTTCCATATTGTTTGAATTTTTTTCTTTCTCAAAGCCTTTACTTTGAAACATAATGAGAAAAAAAAAACAGGTACATGGAAAAAGACATTGTTTGAATCTCCTAAAACAAGAAATTGTCACATATCACTGATAATGTTTTGCTTTTTCAAAAACACTAGAGTTTTAAAAACTCTAGTCACATAAAATGGTACTGCCTTGATTAAAGAACCTGTTTGTTAGCTAGCCAAAACTTGCTGAGTTGAAATTCTCTTCTGTTGTCCTAGCTCTATCTACCATGGCTCTCCCTCCAGGCACCTGCTAAACTCAGACTACTTGCCAGACTAACACTTGCGAGCACCTCAGTTTTAAGATGTCACATTCCCTACCAGGAGAAATCCAACCAGTTCTTCAAGGTTCGGAGCAAACACTCTCCCCTCCAGTTCTCTACTCCAGTACTCTTCATAAGAACTAAATTCTCACTTCTGTGTTCCTGCAACACATCTGCAACTCAGATGTCGCCTTACTCAGTTGCACTTGGCACACAACAATACAAAAGATGAGGCTGCATCTTGGACAGAGTGTCACCAAACTATTCCCCTTGGCATAACCTCAGGCATATAGAGAGCTATTTCCAATTACTGGGTGCTCAGTTAAAAATCACACACATTTGAAAACCGTGTGATATGATAAGATGCAAAGTCAAAACAAAATGCAAGGTCAAGCAAGCGTTAAGCCTTCTCTGGAGAAAAGGTAGAAGGATCTTTGCTTCCTCCCAAATTCAAAACTATCAATAATTCCTTATGTAAGCACTTTCTTAATAAAGATACTTATTTAATTCAAATGAAACTTTTCCCTTTTCATTACCTGTTCACGAAATGCCTAACAATTCTTGCAACTCTATCTTAAGTTTGTGAGTGATATCTATTATCGAGAATTTAGGGCTCTGAATTCAGCATAGACAAGTTGAGAGATCTACTCCTGGTCATAGAGCAGATCACCAGGGCCAAAACAAGATTCCATTCGGAATTCTATCCACCTCCACCTAACATGAAGAACCTGTGCATCAGTCACTTTAAAAAAGCATCTGGTAGAGTTTGCTTGAATTAGTGAAGAGACTTAAAACATTTTTAGTTGTGGAGGTTTACTTACGACTTTAAAGTAATTAGACTTTAACCATGCAGATCACAGTAACAGATTATTTCAAAACTCACTGTGCAGTTCCAACTATGGAACAGGGAATGCACATACTAGCAACCAAAACTTCTCATAGTAATGACCCGACACCCATCCACAAGAACCACTTTTTTCCTTCTTCATTTCTTTCCAGAGGCCCAATAGACTAAACATCATAGCTCACCCCGTTTCCCCATTTCAGCTTGCATTTAAGATAACGCTTTTGTTTCATTTACAGCTCACATGCTGCTGACACAGCTGCCCCTTCTTTGTAATAAACACAGAGCTTCTATATTTAAAAATACAGTGAAACTCTGTTATAACATCCCCTCCCCAGTCTGCGGCCAATTTTTCCCCTTCCAAGCCCCACCTCCACCCCATGATTTTCTATCAGCGGCACCAAAGAAGTTAGACTCTTTGGAAAGGCGATTTTCTTCTTTAAAGACGTCTGTCTCATCATAGTGGTATTTTTCTTTCCGCGGGGTGTGTGTGGGGGGGGAACATGGGAAGAGGGGGGACATTCCTTATTCCAGAGGGCTTCCCAAGCAAAAGCACTTGAGTCTGTGTCTCTGGAGTCTGGGGTGCTTTTTGTGAGCTGTGACCAGCGCCCCAAATGTCCAGCTGGGACGGCCTCGCTGATAGGCCTCGGAGCTGGGCTGGGCCGCCAGGGCGGACTTGGGGGCACACGCAGCAGCCCTGGCAGCTGGAGGAAGGGCCAGAGCGCCCGCGGGCGCCGGGCTCGCCCGCCCGCCCAGAGCCCCCGGGAGGATGTTTTGAGGTGGGGGTTGGGGGTGTCTCGTAAACACCCGGCGGGGAGATAACGAGCTCTGCCCGCGGGATGCAGGCTCCGGGGCGCCAAGGACGGGGTGGGGGTGGGGGGTGCCTCGCCGCGCGTCACTAGGGGCCAATCAGCAGGGGGCGACAGAGCAGGGTGTGGGCCTGAGGGGGTCGCCGGGAGGAGATAAAGCGAAGCTGGAGTTAATCATCATCCCCCAAAAGCGTTTGGGAAAGGGACGGCCCGGGGCCGGAGGGGCAGGAAAGCAGCCCAGGGAAAAGTGAAACTCCTTCCCGGCGCCGCCGCCGGGCACCCCGAGCGCCCGATGCAGCACTCGTGGCTCCCCACCCCGCAGCCCGGGTCACCGTGCCACTAACAGCTGCAGTCACCTCGTTTTTCTATAAATTCACGCGAAAGGGGGTAGGAAAGAGCCAGCACCACAGGAAATAAAATAAATCACGTTTTCGTATCGACGATAAAAATTAATTTCAAAAAAAAAAATAAAAAGCTACGTCGTTCCCATACCGGGAGTCGAACCCGGGCCGCCTGGGTGAAAACCAGGAATCCTAACCGCTAGACCATATGGGAAGAGCTGCTAGAGGCAGCGCGGAGACTCACCTGACAAGCGCCAGCACAGCCGCTGCCTCCGTTCCCCGTCGCGTCACCGCCACTCCCGCCCGTGCGCCGCTCCGGCCGCGGCCGCCGCTGCCCACGCGCTCCGGGGCGAGGGACGAGCCCGGCCCGAGCGCGCGGGCGTCGCGGAGGCGGGGCGGGGCTGCTCGGCGGCCTCAGCAAAGTTCTGAAGCGAAACCCAGCCACTCCAGGCCCGAAAGCAGCTATTTCACCTTTCTTTTTTTTTTTTAAAACTCCGCCAACGGCCCCCAGCCTACAAGTCCGGGTGGTTGCGCCGGTCAAAGTGCGTGCGGACTAGTTGGCAAAGTTGAGGGCGGCGACGTCTCTGGGAACAGCTGTTTGCGTTCGGGACGGAGGCGGCGCGAGAGCTCCTTGGCCCCGAGCCAGCGAGCCCCGGAGGATGGTGGCGGGTCTGGAGCCCAGGGCGAGAGGGCGAGAGAACGCAGGATGACGCGGGGACCTAAGGCTGGCGGCTCCTGTCGTCCCGCTCGGGTCCCGTCGCGCTTTCGCCCCTTCTCGGTGACCTCAACCCCTTTATACCGACCCCACCTCTCCGGCGCCCGGAGTACCGCCCCTCCGGGGGGAGGGGGAGCGGAGGCGCGCGCGAGCGCCGCTTGGGCCGTCCGGGCACCCGTAGCGGGGAGCGGCGCGACGCAGGGCCGGACGCGCAGGGCGGCGTCGGGCGGGGAGGCTTGGGTGGGCCTGGGAGCGGGCCGGGGCCCAGTCGTCCCGCGTGGAGATCGCGAGCCTGTGCCGGGCCCGGAGGCGACTCGCGGAGTCATGTGAGTCGGGTCTCAGGCTGGGAACAACGGGGTTTTGTTCCTCTGCGCGGCCGTGCCCGCGGGGGCTCTCCCGCCGGCACCCCCGCCTGGCGGCCGGGGGCGTGACGGAGGCGCTCTTAACTCGCTCGGAACCGGTCTCAGACCGGCCGGGCCGGTTCTCGGGGCGGGGGGAGTGTTGCCCCCGGAGCGCCCCGGGCCTGGGGCGCGAGCCCTCGCGGGGGAGCCGGGCGGCCTGCGGAGGTGGGGCTGTGGCCGGCCCAGCCGCGGGGCACGCCCGCCTCCTCGTCGTTCGGGGTCGCCGGCACCCTGTTGGTTTCAGCTCTGGAACCCTGGAGGATTGTGAAAGTTTGGGGTTGGACAGCCGCCACCCCTGTCTCCTCCGCCTGCTAGAAGGGGCCAGGCCTGCATAACGTAATGACTTTTTTTTTTTTTTTTTTTTTTTGGTCTTGCGGGCTGAGAAGTCTCTTGACTTTTCCACCAACTCTCTTTTGCCCTGAGGCTCCAGAACAAATTGTATTAACTGAAAGTCTCGAAGGAACCACAGTCTCCCACCAGAGGAGTCTTGTGCTTTGTTCTTCTGGTGGGAAAAACTTGATTTAAAGCGAACTTTTTTTATTTCTTCAGGCCTCCATTACAGCAGCCTCCCACCACGTCAGAAAGGAATAGAAAGGATAATCTTCTCTAACGTGTTACTAATTTCTTCACACTGATGGCAGTAAGGAGAATTGGTTGAAGCTGTTTTTAATTTTTGGTTTTTTAAAACCATTGGTTTACATCCTTGTTAGCGTTTTGGAAGTGTAGGATTCCTGCCATTCCCCAGGTGTAGTCATCGTCATACCCACCCAGGCACCCATTGTCTTCCACTGTGATCCATTGCCAACGGTTTTTTATTTCAGGGTGTTTTCAATCCGATGCAGAATTTTTCTACTCTACAAGCAGCAAGTTCTGTTGCCTGCTTCATTCAGACAAATAATAAATCAAGGGTGTTGTGTGTGTTTAACAAGACAAGATTCAGCAGGGCTTACTTATATTTCACAGTCTAAGAAGATGGAAAGCAAGCAGAATTTTATTCTTTCAAATGATAAAGCTTAGTCTTGTTTTTCCCTTTTTCAGGGCAGACTACTGGAAGTCACAGCCAAAGAAATTCTGTGATTACTGCAAGTGCTGGATAGCGGACAATAGGCCTGTATGATAATTCCACTACTAGAGATGCTAATAATAATGAATTCTGTGAAATGTTTGTTTTTGATCTAAACTCAGTTTACAAGGCACTTTCATAAATATTATGCTTCATTTTCCCCCACACAACATCTGGATATTTCTCTTGTCCTTCACTCCTTGTAGGAAATCTGTAGTCTTTGTCTTTTTCACTTAGTCTAAATTTGATTATATATTAAGCCAAATTATTTCTCTATGACCCCTTAGTAACAGTCAGGAAGTGGACATTGAGTTGGTATTATGAGTTATATTTGTATACCACTTACATTATGATATTGTTTGTAATACTCTCGTATACCCAAAAAATAAAAGCAGAGGACCTGTAACACATAAAAAGAACATTATTGTGGTTTTCTTGTTTAGTTTCTGCTCTAGAGAGAAATATATTTGAGACAAAGCTTTATATCTGTGAACACTTCAGTTTGAAATAACATCATTGCCTCTGTTATGAAAATGGCACTTCTTTTAAGAACATTTTAACTGTATTTTATGGTCTAGATTCAGTTCGTAAGACATAAAACAAAAGACAGTGCTGTTGATTTTCCACAACTCATGTATGTCATAGTACATAAGCATCTTTTAAGTATATCATGCATTCATATTCTTTTTACTTGGTAATGTTGGATACACAAAAGAATAGCTTTAGTAATGTATTTCGTTGATAGACATGTAGTTATTCTTGTCTGTAAGGAGTTTGGGTTATTTTTCTTCTGGATATTGTTTTGTTTTTTCCTTAGTCAAGGTAGGTCTTGACTATCTTCTTTCACTTAGGCCATCCTTAGAAATAAATGGACACAAATTTTAAAACCTACACAGATTACTGTTGGTCTCTCCTCCTTGAAGGTACCCATGCAATTAAAGGAAATTTATTAGTTACCTAGACTAAATAACCCCTTCTAAGATAGTCATCTTCTTGAATTACGAATATACATTGCTTCAATCATTAATTAGAAACAATTTATTTTTATATTTATTTCATATTCTTTATGTGATATAATCAACTTTTGGAAATCCAGTATGTAGGAGAAGAGGATGATACTTTATATAGAGTAACACACTTTAAAGAGGAATTCACAGTAGTACTTTAGACTAGCTCAGCTAGTGCATCATAGAAGATTTGATTGACAAAATTTATTTTGCAAAGTTTACGTACAACCAGGCATTCGAATTTTAGGAAGCATTTCTGGCTGTTTTAAATAGGTAGTTACATTCACTCACCCACCTTTTCCATCTAGTTAAGATCATTCTCTTTGGTTACCACTGTTTTCATTTTCTTGTCTATCTTTATACTGTTTCTATGTGCCTCTATAGATTTTTATTCTAATATATGTAAAAGGTAACAGACAATGTACATTGTCCTGCACCATAGTTTTAAAAAAAAGTCAACACTATCCTGGAGCTCTCCATATCAGCATATAGGAAAATTCTTTGTGTTCTATTACAGCAGCCTGCAGGGCTTTTTTAACCTGTTCCTTATTTGTGGATACTTGGAATGTTTTTATGACATGGCTTCAGTGAATACTTGTACATAATACTGTTTTGTGCGGAAAATAAACTCCCAGAAAATGGGATCACTGAGTCAAAGGGTAAATAAATGTAGTTGTAATTTTGCTAATAGTGTCAAATTGTCCTCCATAGGAGTTTTACATTTTGTATCATAACCACAGTATATAAGAATATTTGTTTATAATTTAGGAGGAGTTTGGAGAATTAAGGTTCTAAGGATCATTGTTTTTATCTCTTACTAATGTGGCAGGTAGAGCAGTACAAATTCTAGAGGCTTACTGATTTTGACATTTCATGTTGAGAGTTGTTTCTTAAAGATTTTTTTCCTACTCTTTTGGCTTCATGTCTTCATTATAATCCTCATTATAATCATATTCACTAGATTAGTCATCAAAATACCTTGTATTTTTCTCCATTAATATGGTCATCATAGTCTATTTTAAGCACCAAAGGGGAAACCTAGTCAGAGGGCATAAAAATAAATAATGCAGTTCAGTTTCTTAGCTTCATTTGATAAAAAAAGCCAATTTGCTTAGAATTATCTTTCTTTTCCACCAATCATTCTAATTTCAATTTTGTTATATATTTTTGTTATATATTTACCCTGCTACTTTACTATACATATTACGTTGCTTTGTGTTTTGTTTTTTCGAGAGTGTTGAATTTCATGAAAGAGGAAAGAATCATAAGGAAAATGTTGCAAAGAGGATCAGTGAGGTAATTTAAGTTTCTTTGTCTTTGCCAGTTTTTCTATGTAAATGTTAGTCCTTTATCTAGCTTTCACTCTCTTATATGTCTTATATAGATTAAACAGAAAAGCTTGGATAAGGCAAAGGAAGAAGAAAAAGCATCAAAGGAGTTTGCAGCAATGGAGGCAGCTGCCCTCAAAGCATACCAAGAGGATTTGAAAAGGCTTGGCTTAGAGTCAGGTAAAAAAAAAAAAAAAAAGACAGCATGTTTTCAAAGTAACATCAGAGGTCATGCTAAGTGAGCTTTTATTGTTTCCATAAAGAGATTATACACTCAGGGTATATATTTTTAGTGCTTTTCATATGCGTTGTAGCTCTATTTGTTCTGTGGGACTTTGCTCATGCACTTTTGTTTTGCTTTTAGAGCCTCATCTTTTATCAGCCACACTATTTTGATGGTTACCTGGTCCTAGTTCTGTCTTAGGTCAGTGATTCAAAAACACTTGGATATCTTAGATACTCTCATTATTCAACTAAAAGGGACTGTTCATTAAGAAATAGTCTTGCATTATAATTTATTTTATCCTTTATTAAAACCATGAGCCATATTTATTTGTCTGGTTGAATTGCAGTGAATTTACTTTTTGTGGACACAATAAGGACATAGTAATTATTGATACAACTTTACTCCTAGAAGGTAGATAATTTTAAGGGCTTAAGGATAACCTAGTTCCAGATAAAAGATATTTAAGTAGAATTATTCCTCTTGTCATTGCATTTGAACTTTAAGTTGGAAGCTTTCTGTGAGCATTTCTTCTATGACATATTGTCCTTAAACCAGGCTTGTAGCAGATTTCAGTGGTTGATCTTTCATAATGTTAGGATTGAATAGTCAACATGGAATGATAATTTTTTTTTATAATTTTTTTTTTTTTTATAGAGGCATGTTTTTTATTTATTTGTTTGTTTTGTTTTGTTCACACATGCACTGGGTACAGTCAGAAGCGCGGGAGGGTGACAGAATTCACCAGAGCCAGAGCGGGGAGCAGAGCAGGCAGAAGGACCGAAGTACACTGCTGAGGGGGGCAGCGGGCGGCAGGAGAGGTCTGCGCGCCATGTGGGACCCTCCTCCGGTGGCCGCGGAGCAGCCAGGGATCGAACCAGCACCGCAGAGGCCACGGGCAGCTTCGCAACCCAGCGCTCAACCGCTGCGCCACCGGGGAAGCCCATGGAATGATAATTTTTAATAAAAACTGCTTTCAGTTAAATTTTTAAGCAGAGTAACAGTGATTGACATTGTCCTCATCAAATTAAAATAGTTGTAGTCAGACTTTAAAAATATTATTTTGAACATGTTACTTAAGAGAAGCAGGAAGATACAGTGTTTCTATAATGATGAAGCTGTGTTTATTTTAAGGGGAAAAAGAATACAGCATTCCTGCAGATTTAAAAGGAGTTGTTGAAAATTCGTGTTATCAATTACATGGACTGGGAGATTTTGTTTGTTTATTTATTTATTTATGCAAGCACTGGGTACAGTCAAAAGCGAGGGAGGGTGAGAGAATTCACCAGAGCCAGAGCAGGGAGCAGAGCAGGCAGAAGGACCGAAGTACACTGCTGAGGGGAGCAGCGGGCGGCAGGAGAGGTCTTCGAGCCATGCAGGACCCTCCTCCAGTGGCTGGGGTGCAGCCGGGGATTGAACCGGCGCTGCAGAGGCTGCAGGCTGCTTTGCAACCCAGCACTCAACCGCTGGGCCACCAGGGAGGCCCTGTGAGCAAATTTTAATATTCTATATTAATAGTATTTTGGGGAGCCCTCCCTGGTGGTGCAAGGAGTTAAGTCTCAGCACTCTGAAGGTATCAGCAGCCACTGCAGCATGAGTTTGAACCAAGATCAGGGAGCTCACCCACATGGCGCAGCAGACCTCTTCTGTCTTGCCTGCTGCTCCCCTCAGCAATGTATTTCAGTCAGTCCCCTGCCTTGCTCCCCACTTTGTCTCTGGTAAACCTTTTTACCCTCATAATCCCCAGTTCTTGTATGCATAAATAAATAAATAAATAAATAAATAAATCTTTTAAAATAAATAAAATGTGTTTTTCTTATTAAATATTTTTCACAGCTTTGTTTTCCAAAATAACATATATTCCTTAAAATGTACAGTGCAGGGCCTCCCCGGTGGCGCAGCGGGTTGAGTACGTCACTGTGAAGCTGTCCACAGCCTCTGCAGTGCTTGTTCGATTCCCGGCCGGCCAGGGAGATTCCCATATGGCGCGGCAGACCTCTCCTGACTCTCCCATTGCTGCCCTCAGCAGTGTACTTTGGTCAATATGCCTGTTCTGTTCCACACTCTGTCTCTGGTGAATCCTCTCACCCCCTGCGCCTCTGGCCTGTTCCCCAGCTCTTGTATGCATAAATAAATAAATCTTAAAAAAAAAAAAAAAAAGGAAGTAGTACCAGGACTCTGCACTTTGGATTTGTTTCTGTGCTATTCTGTTTCAGTAACCTATTGACTTACTCCTGAATCAGCTACTGCTGGCTTTCTCTAACCATAGTTTGAGAATGAATTTTAATAGCTGGTAGCTATATTATCCTTATTCTTTTTCATAAGTCTTCTGGATATTCATGCATGTTTAGTATTTCAAATGAACTGTATAATAATTAAGTTCACAAAAATATCTTGCAGACTTGATTAAAATAACATTAGTAATGTTCTGTGCCAGCAAAAAAAAAAAAGTTACTTTGGCTATTCACATGCCTCTCATCTTTTCTCTAGAAATTCCAGAGCCAAGCATATCACCAGTAACCAGCACTATCCCACCACCCTCAGCATCAAAGCAGCCAAAAGAAAAGAAAAAAAAGAAAAAAGAGCCTTCAAAGGGCAGATGGGTGGAAGGCATATCCTCTGAGGGTTACCGTTACTATTATGATCTTATCACAGGAGGTAAGTCTTCTATGCATGGAACTAGTACAGAATAGTAACTGACAGAAATTACTTTTGAGCTAAATCTATAAATTAAAATGAGGGCATCAGGAATGATGTCATCTTGCTCACCATTTGTATACTTAAAACTGTCCCTATCATGATAGAGACACTCCAAAGTTATTACAATAAAGACAAATTTTGGTACGGTGTTAAGAGGATATAATAAGCATTCCTGACAGAACAATGGGAATCTAAAAAGGATTTGAAAGTTTTGAAAATCATCCAGTGGAGGTAACACGTGAGGTTCTTTAGACAGTGTCACGTCAGAAAAAGTAAGACAGAAAAGTAGACTAAAGTCATATCATAGAGAACTAGGATATGAAATATTGTAGGACTGGGATATGAAATACAGAAAAAACAGTAAATTTAAGTGGCATGCTAATAAATTTAATTTTGAATATGTTGAGTTTGAGGTACCTATAGAATATTCATGAGTCAATTTTCAATAGCTGCTTGAAGATTAGCATCTGGACTTAGGGAGGTAAATTGAATCTAGGAATGTAGACAGTATTTTAACTTTTAGGAATATATAAGAACGCAAGAAGAAAAAAGAAAACAGAAATTTAAAAGGGTGGGTGAAAAAAAAGATGGTAGGTAGTACATATCTAAAAGGAATGGATAGAAGAAAAACCAGGAAAAAAGTTATGAATGGTCACAAGGGTAGAAAATGAGATGAGTTAATCATGTATTACAAGTTATTATTATAATTATGGTTTTCAGAATCACAATCAATTTTAGACTACATAGAAATAGTAATCTTTTAGCCTTGCACTGAGCCTGAAGTAAGATGCATGTTTTAGTAGTTCCACAGTGAACCATAAGTGCTTATTTGTTTGGTAATCTAACTCAAATTTATAAAGAAACTTTATTAATTATGTCTTTTCTCCCTTCTAGTGCCCATTGCTTGCTTGCTTTTATTCACCATCCTACTTTATATATTCTTGCTCTCAGTAATTCTTGTTTTTAATTCCTGCATACTTTCTTATTCCTCTTCTAAGTTACTCATTCCACCCCTCTCTCTGCCCCAAGATGTCACAAGGCCAACTCATTCCTTCAAAACTTTAGCAGCCTACATTTCATGAAGTCTTTTAAGAGAAGCCCTACCTGTTTCTAATAATTCCTTTGAAATTCAGTAACTTCTAATCCTTCATTCTCTCTTTCCTTTTTTTTTTGGTTACATTGTATTTGCTTGTGTTCTTATTCAGTTTTTTTTTTAACAAACTTTGTTATAAACCTATAGTTTTTTGTACACGTGGACTATCTTATAATTTTTGCCTAACTAAAAATTTTGGAAAGTTTTATTTTTAAGCAAAAAGATTTTATAAATACAATATGTTTTCTTTTAAGCATCTCAATGGGAGAAGCCTGAAGGATTTCAAGGAAACTTAAAAAAGGTAACTGAAGCAAATTAATAGTGTTTTTACTTTTTCTTTGTTGGCTTCTAGTGTTTTTGTAGAGTCTTATGAAGCAAATTTACTTCCAAATAAGTCCCCACACACACATGCTTTATTCTTTTTTACCTGTAATTCTTTTGTTAGAAGGCTGGGTGAAGTTGAAAATTGATGTCTGCCCAAAAACTCCTTGCAGGGAAAATATTATTAGTTGTTTTGTTGTCAGTTGCCATTCATATATCCCCTCCACCTATAGTTTACTGACTTTCAAAGATGAAAATTGGTATCCCTAAAAGCTGGCCCATGATTAACTCAAACCAAGCTTTCTGGCCATGATCAGTAGGTAATACCATCTTAATTCCCAGGTGTCAAGAAGAAAGGAGAAAGGGTGACTGACTTTGCCTTAGTTGATCTAATGTACAACCATACTATAAGCCTCAGTTTATGCTGCTTTTTTCCTCCCATTAGACAACAGCGAAGTCCGTTTGGATAGAAGGTTTAAGCGAAGATGGTTATACCTATTACTATAATACAGAAACAGGGGGCAAGTATTACCTTCGATTACTTTATCTAAAATTGTACCTTTGGCCTGCTGAGAAGACATATGAACTTGGAGATTTTATATTGTGATAAACATATTTCTTTGGTAAAGTTATATTTTTCATAATTTAAAAATAGTAGTGCAATGCAAAAAAGATTTCCATGTATAATACATACTTTGTTACTCTCAATTAACCACTCCATTCGCAATTTTTTAAAAAATTGTTTTTACTTTTTTGGCCATTTTTTAAAGTCATGGTTATTGGAAACATAATTACCTTGGAAGACACCTTATAGATATTTAATTCAACTTGCCTTTTCCTTTTTTAAAAAAACCAAGCTATTTTAGCAGTGACTGAGATTGTCAAATTTTCAGTTTTGCTTGTTTGATGCTGTGTCATTGTTTAAATATTTCTAAAACATGCATAATTATTACCTCATAATTTTACTTGATTTTTACTACTGTTAAACTTACCAAAATAGCTTTAGTATTGATGTAACTTTGGAGGGCTTTTTTTTGTTTTGTTTTGTTTTTTGACTCCTGTTATCCATATATGCTCTACATAGCATTACATCTTTTAGGAGGAAGGGGCCCTTTTATTCGCCAAGTAAATATCTCACCTGCCCAATGATTGCAGTGGGTTCTATCTCAGTAAAATTGAGGTACTGAACCTTGATAGAGATAAAATGTAGTGATACAGCCTCATTCCAGAGTTTGATCTGAGCTCAGTGCAGTTTCTTCCCTTGCCCAGCTATATCATGGACAAGACACTGTGCCTGTAGTTGATCAGATATACTCTGGAGTCAGGACAGTCAGATCTACAATGTTCCCAAAATAGTGCCTGGTACATTGTGGGTGCTTAGTAAATGATTTCCAGAAAGTTCTTTTGTTACTTGTGAAATATAGATCAGGAAAAGCTTTACATTAGTCCAGTAAAGAATCCTGTATTTATAAGGAAGTATACATATTGAATTGCTCTCAACAGTTTCAGTTTATATCTGAACCAGTGTATCGCTTCTCGGCCTTTTGGCTAAGATCAAGTATAGTATATCTGAACCAGTGTAATTTTTGATAGGTTACCTTTCATTCTTAAAACTGTTCCAGTTGGACAATAAATTTTAGAATCCCTCTGCCTTTTATTAAACTAAAAATAGAGATTAACTGTAAGATAATTAGAAGTGCTATCATGTTATTAAAAGCACCCACTAAACCACAGGATGGCAGTAGAGTTCAATCAAGATTTTTTTCCTTCTATGTAAAAAATGACAAATTAAATTCATTCAGATCTTCAGAGTACCATTTCAGTTTGTGAACATCCCAGGAAATCTAACGTGTGTTCATTATCACATGTTGCCTGAAATTGTATTAGGTAAATGGTGAGAATCCTTCGAAATGTCTAGTTCTTAGGTCTCTTTCCATTGGGGATTATAGTTTTTATATGTAGTATAAATCCAAATTGTTTGAAGTTCATTTCTGAAAGGTACAAAAGAAAGGGTTTTGGAAATTCTTATTTATTACCTTTGTGATCAAGTGATGACGTGAAACAGATGTAATTAGCAGGAAGCATTATATTGGGAATTTCCTCTAAATAGAATTGCTAACTGAATAACATGACTATTAAAATGTGTTGAATAGAATCCAGATGGGAAAAACCTGATGATTTTATTCCACACTCTGGCGATCTTTCTAATAAGGTCAACGAAAAGTTCCTTGGCACCCTAAAAGAGACCAAATCAGAGTCGCATAGTGATTCAGATAGGGAACGAGAACCAGAAAAAGAAGTCTCTACGAAAAAACAAAAGCTAAAAATAAAGTTTAAGGTAGGTTCTTGAATCAGTTTTTACAAAAATTTATCAATTGATGAAAATTCTGCGGATTTTTTCAATTTTCTGGTATAAGATGAATGAAAGTTAAGACATGTATTTTGGCAGTTGGATATATAGTTGTATCATTTCTTGATAATATTTTGGTAGAAATACAGTAAGAAGTTTATCTTTAGACTTCCTAAATTTAAGGCTGGGGTACAGACCAGAGGTGTGGGGGGTGAGAGGACTCACCCTGTGACATTGAGAGAGCTTTCTGAACAAGTGAGTCTGAATGTCTACCCTAAAAATGCTAACTTGAGTATCATCAGCATACTGGTAGTAATTTAAATCTCAGAATGGGTGAGTAACCTAGGAAAATGACATTGGGGAACATTTTAATAGCAGGCAGAGAAAAAAATAACCCATAAGGAAAAATAGATAGAATGAGGAAGGAAGGTTAGAAAGGGATGCAAAAAAAAAAAAAATTTAATATCCCAAAAGATAAAGGAAGCACGATCATCAAAGATTAATTAGGTACAGAAAAAGAAAATGTACGTTGAATTTTGCAGTGAAGTCGTCCTTGATTCCCTTCTCATGGTTTCACTGGAGTTCTGATTACAGGGGGATGAAAAGTGGCTCATGGGGTATATGTGATTTGGATATGAAATGAAAAGCAGAAATTAGTTGATAACATGATGGCTACATACTGACTCATTAATCATTAGATTGGTGATGGTGGTGGTGGTTATTTTTATTGAGGGGAACTCCAAAGGAGGTAGAAAGGGATATTGATAAAGGCAGATGGATAGGTTGGTTTTGAACAAGAAACTCATTTTCTGTAAGTAAGATTTCCATTTTCCATAAAAAGAGATGAGCATGAATGAGTTGGTATCAGGGAAGAAATTGTAGCCTTAATTTATTCATTCCTAAAGAAATCAAGATTGCTGAGATTGGGGAGCTCTGGGGTCCTCAACAACATTAATGAATTGAAATAATTATTACTGAGCTGGGGTGGGAGAGAAAATGAAACAAGGAAGAGGACTGACAGGTGGTATTGAGTGTCCAGCCATAGCAGGAAAGAAAAAACAGACAATTTTGTACTGTTGCTAATCTTTCTGCTTTTGTGACCTTTCAGAGCACACTCAAAAGCAGAGAACACGTAGTACGGACTCATGGTTGAGATTACTGGCTTGTGAGGTGAAGAAAAGTCAAGGATGCTTAAGAGAGGGTACTTTCATGTCATACCTGGGATATTATTGCCTGGAATTTCTCCACCTATCACATAAACTTGGTGGAACTTAGGATAAATGGATGTATACAGTTTATAGAGAAGCAGCAACAAAGTCCTTATTATATAGTAACCACCTCACAAAGTTTATAGTAACCCAGCATCCAGCCTGGGACAGACATTAATTTCAAGCAAACAAAAAATTTCAAAATACAGGAGAAAAACAAAGGCAAGCTACTTATAATCCTGCTACTTCCCCCAAAACCACTATAAATCCTTGGTGCTCATTGGTCTGTCATTTTTTTCTGTTGAAACACATGTACATTCTTTTAAGTAAAATAGGGAATCATACTGTAAAAAGGTTTAATGGCCATTTTTTGATGTACTCTTACAAAGATACCAATAAGTTTTAATTTACTAAAATAATTCATACTTTATGGTATGAATATTTGTTTTGAATAAGTTAACTAGGAAAAGAACTGGACACTTATTACTTAGGAATTACTTAAAGTTAGACACATTAAAGTGTCTGGTTGAAATTGAAGTCTCATCAGTTTGTATGGTTGTGTGATTTTTTTTTTTTTTTTTTTCATTGAACACTTGACTAACAGACCAGTGATTAGATAGATCTTTATGGAGGAGGTTTTTAGGTCCTTTGCAGTAGACAGACAGAGTGACAAATATATTTAAGAGTACTAGCAAAAAACGCTTGTAAAGTGATTGCCTGTGGGCTTAGGACTCTAAGGCTATAAAGTCTAGAAGAGCCCATCAAACTCAGAACACAATAAGTTAAGGTACTGATGTTGGACAGGAAGTATAGTAGAAGTATAGCAGCCAGAAAGTCCAGAGGATAACTTGCATTGGTCAGAGGAACTTAAATTTTACAGGTGGAGCATTAAAAGGAACATAGATGTGAGATTTAGTGTTTGAGTACTGCCTATGCACTAGGTGCTATATATAAGCAGAACTATATAACATTTGGTAACTGAAATGTAGTAAGGAACAAAGTTACTGATTTTGAGACTCAGAAATTTTTTATCTCTAGGATAACAAGAGTTTATTAATAGAGAGAACATGGTACAGGAGTCATCAGTGAACGTGGAGTAGTGGCCAGAGGAAAATAGAAGTTAACTATGTAAAAGATAGTATGAGGAGCCACTGCATGAGGATCAAAGTGTGATGATAATGTGTTGTGATCTCATTAAAAATGTTTTTAGAAAAGTCATTACCTGAGGCAGTGAGGATTGCCAAGAGAAAGTGAATGCAACTTCTTAGTCCTGTGATCCCAACAGCATGAGGGGATGAGTTAACATCCATTCAAACAATTGCAAATGAAATAGTATCCGAGGACTGCAACCCATGGTTGTATAGTTTGAGAAGAAACAGATCCGGTGCGTTGATCTACTTGGCTTAAGCTGGGTCATAGAGCTTAATTATCCCAAATGAAGAAAGGGGTGCCATGAAAGTAACAGCCCTAGCCAGGAGCTCCCATAGGAAATGCTTCTACTTTATGGACATGTCTTTCTAATTTCACATAGTTACCAGTAGGTCAAGAGATTCTGGCCATGTTCTAAATATGAAGACTGATTTCATTAAATTTGTTGAGGGAGGACTTTAAACAGATAATGAATGAAGAAGGATCTAATGATACGGCATTAAATTCAAACAGGGCAAATTGTAAAGGGAGGTTACATGGGATATGTAAGCAAGGGAAGAGCAGAAAAGAGGATTTAAAAAGCCTACTGTGTCTTTAATTGTGGAACATTTAAATTATGGAACATTAATAGGAATGTGTTATGTTTTATATATTTAGTTTTAAGTTAATGTGTTTATATATTTATGTGTTTTAAAATAAAGTACTCTTGGCTATGGTGTAAGGTATGTTACACTTTAAACATTAAAATCTTAATCAAGTGTTAAGAGTTCTTTTGTGTGCACTGATTCTGTTAAGTGCAATTTTAAACTAAGTGAGGTATTGTATTATTTATAAATCAATAGCAAAACTACATTAAAAAATTTTGGGGTTTATTCTCGTAGTTTTGCTTATAGTATTTGATTTCTTTTGATATTTCAGGAAAAAAATAAGAATAATGATAAAAGAACTGAACCTTTATTACTAAAGAATAAAGAAACACAGAAAGAAAAAAAAATCCAAGAACAGAATTCATCAGGTCCAAAAGAAGAAAAACCCAAAGTTCATAAAAAATCAAATCCATATGGAGAATGGCAAGAAATTAAACAAGAAGTTGAATCTCAGTAAGTATTGAAAAACTTAACCCCACTATTATTACAGGTATTTTTACATTCCTAAATTGTTAATTCCATAAATTGTTACATAGTTACTTCCATAAATTGTACTAATTTCAGGGGAAAGGTGCTTATTAAAAGTTCATTTATTTTGTTTCTATATTCTATTTTTCTAATTAAGTATTTTTATTTTTTTAAAGATTTATTTATTTATGCATACAAGAGCTGGGGTATAGGCCAGAGGTGTGGGGGGTGAGAGGATTCACCAGAGACAGAGTGGGGAACAGAACAGGCAGATTAACTGAAATACACTGCTGAGGGGAGCAGCAGGCGAGACAGGAGAGGTCTGCTTTGGATGGAACTAGGCTGTGAACTGCTTCATAGTATGGTGCTTAACTTGTGCCACCAGGGAGGCCCGTATTTTTAAATATAAATTAATTACTTTTAAAGCACAATAATGATTGTTTTAATTTCTGCTGAAACATGACATTCTTGTTAACTACACCATGTATGTACACATGATTATTCTCTTAAGTCACTGTCTTTATTTTATGAGAGAAACAAGCATCTGAATCTTCAATAAAAGTTTCATAGAATTTCTCTAAAGGCATGGGGAAAAAAACTCTCAATACTGTCCTGAAATGAGTGGCTTGTGACATTTCATCAGATTTTTTAAGCCAGTATTCAAAAAACAGAGTATTTTTATGAGTTAAAAATGTTTTATCAGTTAAAATCTTGGTAGTGGTATTAATGGGTTTTTATTATTAGTTTATGTGTGCAAATTTGTGTTTGTATTAGAGGCATTTACACAATAAAAGCTTGACAGATTAGCGTTTCTTAAATGCATTAAAAAAAATCTTAAGGTGAAAAGAAGTATGTACATGATCAAGCAATTATTCTCCAAAACATCAATTCTTTGGAAGGGTAATGTAAGATGACTGTTCTGTGGATACTTTTATAGTAAAAGTATTTTTTTAAAACTTCTTTAATGAAAAGGTCATATTTCTTCTCAAGATAGTATAATACAAGTTTTGGACAGCTTGATACACTGTTCTCATTAGAATTGATTCCCAAGCGATACAATACTGTATCTATTGACATGTTATTAAAATGTTACTATTATTGTGAACTCTGTGGGTTTTGTTACTTAATAAAATATTAGGAAATAGGTATTTAATGCTACTTAGTGCCAGGCACCATGATAAGCATATTGATTATAATAATTGAAGTTAAAGAAATAATAGATTTGCTTTATTTTAGCCTGTGATTTTTTTAAGTGAATAACAATAGGAAGATGGTCTTACTGTATCTCCTATGCTTCAAACTTGAGATTTCTTAAAACTTCCTTTGAGTCTTTTGTTTTCCTTATATTATACCATAAAGCCATTCTTACTGAATTTTAACATAATCTGGTTTAATGTGAGATTGATGATATCTGACTTGCTAAGTAGATTAGTCTAATTTCTTTAGGGTCTTCTTAAAAATAACCAATACTTTTAATATAGAATTTTTTTTTTTAAGATTTATTTATTTATTTATTTATACAAGCACTGGGTACAGTCAGAAGCGCAGGAGGGTGAGAGAATTCACCAGAGCCAGAGCGGGGAGCAGAACAGGCAGAAGTACCCTGCTGAGAGAACAGCAGGTGGCAAGAGAGGTCTGCCTGCCATGTGGGACCCTCCCCGGTGGCCAGGGATCGAACCTGCGCTGCAGAGGCTGCGGGCAGCTTCGCTTCCCAGCGCTCAACCGCTGCGCCACCGGGGAGGCCCGAAATTTTTTTTTTTTAATGACTAAAGATATAAGAATAATTAGCCTCCTTAGAAAGCATCATTCTTGTCAATTTAAGGGAAAAGTAGGAAAAACATTAAAATGGCATTAATCTTTTTAATACAATAAGGAAAAATTTTGGAAGTCATCTATTTTTAAAACAAATCAGATATAAGGCCTGTTACAGTTCATTTTCAAAAAATTCTTCAAATTTTAAAGAAATGCTATATGATATCTACTGAGATAATTTTTTCCTCAGGTTTTATATTATGCAGAATTTTTTGTCTTTAGTTTTGAATTAACCACTACTAACTTGAAATTTTATCTTTGTACGTATTACATGTATTCCCCTTTATTTGGTTTTTACAATCCTAGCAAATTTCCAAATTATTCTTGCATTTTCAAAAATTGTTACAATGCCTAGAGACCTGCTAGTCTGAACATTTTTATTCATGCATATGTAGGAAGGAACATAAAAAGAACTCTCAATGCTGTTGCCTAGTTCTTTCTATATAGTCTGTAAGAGGAAAATAAGTGTGTACTTTTACAATACTTTGAGCTACCCACTGCATTTTAAGTGGACATGAACTGAACTGAACTCAGAACTCATGAACAGAGAAAAGAAAAGAGGTGATTTCCAAAGGGGGGAAAATGAATTTTAGTTAATAGAAGAGCCAAAATTAAAAGAGAATATTTCTAGTCTAAGTGCCTACTGCATTATCTGGCACATAGTGAACACACAGAGTAGCTATTATTGTAATAGCTACTAGTGTAGGTCTACCATGGCCCTTCAAACTCTTCCTGACCTCTAGGAAAGATAGTTCTCTTTTTTTCCCAGAATCAAGTTGAGTGACAGCATTCCCTGGGTTCCTCTGAGATTGAGATGTCCAGTCTTTCCTCTTTTCTCAATTGGAGTTTCTGACCTTGATATCTGGGACTTCTGACATTTAAAGTATTCCTTTACTTTTATTCCCTTTCTCTCCTTTTATCATACTTTCTTTCATGCTGACCAGGAAATCTTTTGGTTTTGAGTGATAAAAATTTGAGTTACCTTAAATAAAAGAGATTATTAGTTCAAAGGTTTCCACAAAGGTCCTACCCACCAAGCTATGGAGAAAGCAGGAATTGTTCTGGACCTCAAGAATTAGTGGAACCAGGCCTGAAGCACTGACAGGGTTTATCTCCCATCTGTACTTTTCTCTGCAAGCCAAGTTTTTCTCCTCATGAATTCCTTACTTTAAATAGCAGTATTCCTTGTTCCCAACAAGTTTTATACTTATATCTTACTGGTCCTTTTTCAGAGAGCTCATGGGTGGGATTGATGTGTGTGGCATGACTTACTTGCTGTATCATAGGGCAGTTGACTGTAAAGGATGTGCCATGGTAGGTGTGTGTTAATCAGGCACTGGTCTCTGGAGTGATCAACTGTTTATATTAACCATGTGATAGTTAATTGGCTAGTTAACTAGAAAATAGATGCTAGGCAAATAGCTATGTAGCACCTACTACCCGAGGCCATTGAGATTTCATGGTTTTCATCTTATGCTCTGTAAGCTCCAGTGTCCTTGTTTGTCTTTGGCAAAATACATTTTCATAAATACCTCTCTTTTATCCACCTCTGTGGATACAGGTGTATCAGTACAAGCATTTCCTTAATGCACACTTGTCTGATGGGAAGAAAAGAGTAGGTGTCTAACTAAATAAGCGCTCAGTACCTTAAATCATATTATAAAATCAGTAATTTAAATTAGTGTCTTGCCCCAATTTCACATTTCTCACTGTTATTATCATTGAATGATCTTAGGGTTTGGTAGACTCAGGTTGTGTGTAAGTATATCTTACTCTGTTGAACAATTAATGGTTTTATTTTCTGTTTCAGTGAAGAGGTAGATTTGGAACTTCCAAGCACTGAAAATGAGTATGTATCAACTTCAGAAGCTGATATTGGTGGGGAACCCAAAGTGGTATTTAAAGAAAAAACAGTCACTTCTCTTGGAGTCATGGCAGATGGAGTCGCCCCAGTCTTCAAAAAGAGAAGAATTGAAAATGGAAAGTCTAGAAATTTAAGACAACGGGGTGATGATCAATAATTATAAGAGCATTTTCTATGTGCTTTTTGGACAGAATGAAGACAATACATCTTAAAACTCCTATGTTTGTTTCTGAATACTTTGATGCGAAAAATTTAGATTTATTCTAAATGTATTTTATGTGAATTAAAAATAAACCTTTTTTTCATGTGAAATTTATTTTTGTTCCTAAAATGGAAACCTAACCACATTGCATTGTAATACAGTGTATTATATTCAGTGTCTAAAAATTGCTACTTCTGTCAAAAATTAAGATGCTATGTATCTGTTATTTAAAACATGGAAAAGCAAGACCTTTGTTCCATTCTTACTCATATGAACATAGTTAGGTTGCACTAAAAATGAATTATTTTACATTTTGGTATTAGCTGTTACCCAAGAATTAAGAATCAGATCATCTAGGAGTGACAACACAGTGGTGATTCTGTTTCGAGGATTGTCAGAGGCTGATGTAGAAAGTATATGTGTAGTAGCATACCTTACTCATTTTATGATCAAGGGTCAAGAACTAGGACTGCAATGCAGGTCCTTCAAATGTGGTACTTTATATGGAATGAAAGCTTCACCAAAGGTAGAAATATGTATTTGTCCAATTCAACTCAAAGTAACAACTGCTTTAAGTATTTTTACTTTGAACTAGGTATTATGCTAGAAACTACGAATACAAATACAGCATATCACTAATTCTTCATCACTTCATACTCTAACAGCAATTCATTCCATTCAGCAGCCTTATAATATCCTGGAAAAATATTTTTTAAGGTTTATTTGAAGCCATATAGGTGTAGACTTGAACAAAAATAGTTAAGTTCTCTGACTTCAATAAATGTTTTTAGTGTTTCCTTAGGCAAATTGTAAATGTCCTGTTTCCTGAATAATTTCTCAGAGAGTAGAAGTTTGTTATGTAATTCATTTGAAATTGGTACTTTATTACTGCAGATTCTTAAAATTATATTTTTATACATTGTACAGTATTTAACATTGGTGGTAAATATTTGTCTTTTAAAGGTTGCTAGTATACATGCAAGAAACTGATAGCTTATTAAAAGCATTATAAAAATAATTTGTTTTTTTTTCCTTGTGTTGGTCAGACAACTTTGCATTAGTGAGTTAGTATTTCAAAATTTGTCTTTACATTTGTTCAGTCTATTTGAGTATGTTGTGAATGTATCGCATTATGAAAAAGCATATTAGATTCTAGATAACCCATTTATCATTTAGCTAAGGGGAGTAAGTTTGGGTATTTGACACTCCTCGGTTGGACAAGAATATCATTGAATGATGCTACATTTTACCCATATTTAGCTCATACAAAATAGGCACTTGAAGACATTTTTTGAAAATACTTCAGTATGCAAAGTGTTTTTGGTGCATTTATTAAACTGACTCCTTTTGCCTTTATAAGGTTTTCTTAGAAGTTTGAGGATAAGTCTGAGGATGATTTTAAGGATTGCTCAGAATAGACTCTTTTTTTTTTTTTTAATTTTTTTTTAAATTTTTTTTTATAGAGGCATGTTTTTTATTTATTTATTTGTTTGTTTGTTTGTTTTGTTTATACATGCACTGGGTACAGCCAGAAGCGCGGGAGGGTGAGAGAATTCACCAGAGCCAGAGCGGGGAGCAGAGCAGGCAGAAGGACCGAAGGACACTGCTGAGGTGAGCAGCGGGCGGCAGGAGAGGTCTGCGCGCCATGTGGGACCCTCCTCTGGTGGCCGGGGAGCAGCCGGGGATCGAACCGGCGCCGCAGAGGCTGTGGGCAGCTTCGCAACCCAGCGCTCAACCGCTGCGCCACCAGGGAGGCCCCTCAGAATAGACTCTTGACCGTAAAATTTTAGTAAATCAAGTCATGAGAATGGCACTTTCTATTTGCTTTGAAAGAATAAATAGAGGGCCTCTGGTGGCACAAGGGGTTAATTCTCAGCACTATGAAGCAGTCCGCCAGCATGAGTTCCATACCCTGCCAGGGCACAGCAGACCATTCCCGAGTCATCGCTGCTACCCTCAGCAGTGTATTTCAGTCAATCTGCCTGTTCTATGCCCACTCTGGTGAATCCTCTTACCCGCCCCACCCCCACCCCTTACTTTGGCCTACACCCAAGCTCTTGTATGTATAAATAAATCTTTTAAAAAAAGAAAAAGTGGAGATTATATCCAACATACACATTCTTAGAAAAGTATAAATTATTGTATCTAAATTTAAAAGCACATATTTGTAGTCCTGACAATTCTACCAGAAATTTACCCTGTTTCTCACACTTGTGAAAAGCGACCGGTGTAAAAACAATACATTATTTCTAAGTCAGAGATAGAAAGCATCCTTATGGTCTATCAATACAAAGCTGTTTAAAATTATAAGAAACTGTATATGCTTTGGTAGATCGACCTGCAAGATCGAGATTACTAGGTAAAAGAAGCAAGATTCAGAAAAGGAAGAAAGGTGGTATACACAATGGAACACTGCTAAGATATTTAAAAAAAAAAAAATGAAATCCCACTATTTTCAATAAGGGTGAGCCTAGAGAATATTCTGCCATTAAGTAAGTCAGATGGGGGGGGGCCTCCCCGGTGGCGCAGTGGTTGAGCGCTGGGTTGCGAAGCTGCCCGCAGCCTCTGCAGTGCCGGTTCGATCCCCGGCTGCTCGCCGGCCACCGGAGGAGGGTCCCACATGGCGTGCAGACCTCTCCTGTCGCCCGCTGCTCCCCTCAGCAGTGTACTTCGGTCCTTCTGCCTGTTCTGCTCCCCGCTCTGGCTCTGGTGAATTCGCTCACCCTCCCGCGCTTCTGACTGTACCCAGTGCATGTATAAACAAAACAAACAAACAAATAAATGAATAAATAAAAAAAAAAAAACATGCCTCTAAAAAAAAAAAAAAAAAAAAAAATTAAAAAAAAAAAGTCAGATGGGGGAAGATTGTATGATTTCACTTAAATGTGGAAGATAAACTAATAAAAACAAATTGAACAAAGTAGTGGTTACTAGAAGGGAAGGGGAAAGAAGCAATTGTATTGTGAAGGATGGAACACAGATTTTTCATATAAACAGTATGTAACAAATACAGATTTGTAATGTTATAAACCTGTTACATAAAAAATAAGGACAAATGAAACCAATAATACTCCAAAGTACATTCACAAAATCATATTTGTGACACAGTAAAAGTAAAGTGTTTAGAAACTTATAGCAATTTGACAGTTACTGCATTTTTTTTTATCTAATAAAGTTGGGGCTAGAGAAAATCTCGATAGGTGCAGGATAAGTATCTGACAAAATTTAACATGCATTGATAAAACCTCAACAAAAAAGGTAAAGAAGGAATGTTCAAGAACATTAACAAAGGGGCCCTCCCTGGTGGTGCAAGGGGTTAAGACATAGCATTATGAAGCTATCAGCAGCTACTGCAGCACAAGTTCGATCCCTGGCCAGGGAGATAACCCGCATGGCACAGCAGACATCTCCTGACTTGTCCACTTTTCCCCTCAGCAGTGTTTTTCAGTGGATCTGCCTGTTTTGCTCCCCTCTCTGTCTCGTGAATCCTTTCACCCCCTGCATCTCTGGCCTGAACCCCAGCTCTCATATGCATAAATAAATCAATCTTTTAAAAAAAAAAAAAAAAGAACATAACAAAGGCTGTCCCGACCAGTGGGATTCGGAGGCACGAAAAGAGAAGGGCTGAGGATTGAAATGAGGGGCTTGAGACGACTTGCCGCTAGCGGTTGCTTCTTTATTTTTCCTTTACCTTCTCTTACTTCTACATGTTTTTCTTTTCCCTGTCTTTCTACCTTCCCTGGCCTTCTCCCTGCTCCTCTCGCAGTAACCTCTCTCAGTGTCTTCTCTCGAAGTCTCTCTCTCTCTCTCTCTCTCTCTCAGTCTCTACGCAGTCTCTTCTCCTTATCCTCTACACAGTCTCCTTACTCTCTCCCGTGGTTCCCTTCTTATACCCTCGTAGCTCCTCCCATCCTACCTCCCAGTCCCACGTGATTTACAGGAAAATGCAGTGGTTTCTCAGAAGGCGAAAGGTAAATCAAAACCTAACTTATCGCGTGCATGCGCAACACAGTGCATGCTCCAGGCGGCTCCAGACAAAGGCCATATATGACAAGCCTACATACAGCATGTCAAGCAACTGTAGTAGTATCTGTGTAAGCGGGATTTCTGATCCTTCAGCAAAAGCTTCCCTTTCATTTTCAATAGGCAGATACCTTGGTTTAGTTCTCTCAAAGGTTTGATACCTGACAATGTATAATATTCAGTGCTTATTTAAAAGAATTAAAATGTATGGAGTTTTCTAGAAGACTAAAATGAAGTTCTTCCAAATATGTAAAAGAAAATAACCCAGGGGGTCTGGTACAAAATATGCAATGACACTTCCTACTACATCAACCCTCTTGCTGTGTTTCTTTGCCCCTCGAACTGTCCCCATTGTGTATTTATTGAACATGGTTGAATGTACTGAAGTGGTTAATGATCATGTTAAAACTGAAAAGGTTAAAGGTAATATAACTTCTCTTAAATAATGTGTGCATGTTTACTGGTGGGTATTAAAACTATAGAGGCAAAAAGCATTCAGAGTTGGACAGAAAAAGGTGCCATGTATTGAAGTACTTAAGGGATCTATCTTGGAACTGGGTGGTGCCTACCGCCCTAGAATATGCAACCCAAAACTGCAGGAGAGAAAGTACCACGCAGAAGATATGTTAAGATCCCCTTAGGAGACCTATCATTTGCAAATAGATTATGCCTTTCAAAGACTAAATTTATGGCTGGTTGAATGACTAACTGTTTAATAAAACTATTCTTAGGTCCTGATACTAAAATGTGAGAGGCAAGGATGGGTTAAGAATTACCAGAGTTTAGATCTCTTCAGAGCAAATCTCAATCCCTGAAGATTTACTGATTTACATGAAACTTAAACAATCATTGAGAAGAAAAAACTGTAACTGAACTCGAGTTTATTTTATAACAATTATCTTTCTAAACAACTTGGATAGAAAACCCAACTGAATTAGTAGAAGCTTATGAAAAGGTAGAGAACTTGGAGTAAATATGAAAGAGTTGAAAGTAGAGCTGTCACATTGCTTCCCTTTTCCTTTTGTAAGCTTGAATAGATTTGTTTCCTTTCTAATTATCTGCCATCTTTATAAAAGATAAATATGTGTGAGCATGATCATTCTATAATTGAAAACACTGCATTTGGTTTTCTGCTAGAATATGCCCATCACAAATAACCTGTAGCTTTGGAGACCAGTGGGTTGCTATGACAACCAGACAAAAGAGTTTAATAATAGCTTTCCCTCAAAGCTGGAAAATTGACAGAGAGCTATAAATGCAAGTGTTTCTCATATAAATGCAAACAAGTCCAAATACATTTACTTCTTTGTTCAACAAATATTCATTGAATGCCAGTGCTGTGCCTGGCACTATGTGAGGCCCTATGGAAAAGATAGATGTGGTTCCTCAATGATTCAATGTATGTTATAGTGCAGGAAATACAATAAATAGTAAACAAATTAATAAACTAAATAATTCTAGCATGTGAGAAAGTCACATAGGAAACAAAGTAATTGAACAAGCATTATCTAGTATAGAGTATGGAGAAGCCAGTCACAAGGTATAACAAAATTTGTCATCAAGCTTATAGGAAAAAACTAGCAGAAATGAAATAAAGAATGGAGTCTTATAGTCTTTGTTAATGTAAGATTAGAAACACACTACTAACATACACTTCACTTGCTGGCAATGATTAGGGTTCTATATGAAAATAAGGGTTGTTTCTTAAATACAAGCATTTGTAATGAAATTATGATAAATGTTTTATCACATACTTGACAGGAGCATTATTCAAAATGTTCTCTAGCAGCTACCCTAAAGTTTTACACAAACAAAAAAGGTGACTCTATAGATGTATATTTAATAATGGTTAAACCAAAGTCTTTAAGAATTCAGCAAGAAGCTAAGTTTTAAATAGAATAATTATGGTTTATAACCTGGGCTTCAACATACATCTTTTTTTTTTAAGATTTATTTTATTTATACAAGAACCGGGGTACAGGCCAGATGTGCGGGAGGGTGAGAGGACTCACCGGAGACAGAGCAGGGAACAGAACTGGCAGACTGACGAAATACACTGCTGAGGGGAGCAGTGGGTGAGACAGGAGAGGTCTGCTCGTCACATGGGTTGCTTTGAGGGGATTGAACACGCACTGCAGAGGCCACAGACAGCCCCACAGTGCTGCACTCAACCACCTGCACCACCAGGGAGGCCCTAGGCTTCAACATAGAGGGAAATAAATTACATTAGCCTAGCCCCTGAAAAATGATCCTGAAGCAGAAAATGCTAGAATGCCCAGCTTGCTGTAAGAAATTTCCAGTTTTCATAATTACTCTAATTATTTTTCTTATTTTTAAACAAAAGCAACATTTGTTTAAGATACTCAATACTGCCATGGATTATACACAGTCATTTTTCAAAGCTCTTTTATTTTTAGGAAGTTGGAACATCCCATGATACAAAGCCAAGACAATAGTCATGATCTAGAAAACCAGTACACAGTCTGTGAAACTTTATTTACTCAAATCAAAATGAAGTGTCATTGTCTTTTCTGTATAGAAGAGGAGCAAGATCCCAGGGAGTTGCCCAAGTCCTGGGATAGGAAGCATGTTGATTGTAATAACCCGTTGAACTGTTGTCATTGCCATGTGATAAAATCTGGTCTGACAAATGATATGGCAGAGATTGCTATTTAACCTAAAAGCCTCTCTCCCATTCTCTGAATTTTAACGAGATACATGCTGACCAGAATAAAGACTACCTCTCCCAAGTACCCCTGCACCTAGGTGTGGCCATATAATTAAAATCTGGCAAATATCAGATAACTGAAAGCAATATACACTATTTTCCTTCCAGGGAAGGGTCAGGATCTTGCCTTCTTCCTCCCTTTTGATGGCTTGAATATGGACACAAGGGTCAACCAGTTTAGACTATATAAACAGGACAACATCCAAGGGAGAGCAGAACAGGTGCACAGTAAAGCCTAGGTCTCAGTTATCTTTCTAGATGAAAGGTAATGTAACAGGTTAAACTTTCATATGAGAAAATTCTCATTTAAACAACTATTGGTTTTTTATTATAACCACACCTATAATCTAATTACTGCACAAAATAAGAGAAAACAATATCCCCATTGTATCTTCTCTGTAAAAAAAAAAAAAAAAAACACAACAAACCCTGGGGTCTCCCTGGTGGTGGAGGCGTTAAAGACACAGAGCTATCAAGCTATTGCCAGCCCACTGCAGCACAAGTTCCATCCCTGGCTGACCAGGTAGCTAACCCACATGGCACAGCAGACATCTCCTGTTTCACCTGCTATTGCTCTCAGAAGTGTATTTCAGTCAATCTGCCCGTTCTGCTCCCCACTCTGTCTCTGGTGGATCCTCTCAACCCCCACCTTTGGCCTATACCCCAGTTCTTGTATGCATAAATAAATCTTTAAAACAAACAAACAAACAAAAACACCCTGAAGACATTTGGACTCTAGAACAGGCTTTGCCTGATACTAAATTTTCCAGTTAAAATATGCAAAAAGTTTTTTTATTTTTTTAGGAATAAACTAAATTCAGGTAATACTGCTTACAGTTTATGGTCCTGGCTGTTTTCTTTCTTTGAGGCACAAACAACTGTTTTGGAGGAAATACTTTGACATTTATGTAAATGTTTTTTTAATTGGTTTTCCTACACCTAATGAATAGTTGCCCTAAATAAGTATTTCTGATTGAGATATGGTGGTTACAGTCTCACTTCCAAAGCTAAAATTGCTTTGTAAAATGTAAAAGGTTGACTGGAATGGATAGATTGTTTAAGGAGAAAATATGTGTCAGATATAGATGGAGTGATACACAAAATCTCTTCCCTTCCCTCTCTGTGCTTTAAGCCAGGTTAAATCCTTAACCCTGTGTTGAATAGTTTATAAAATAGATTCAGATAACCAATGGCTCAAAGCTAAGAGTGGATGAACCCCTCCTCCTTATTCTGCATAAAACATTACTCCATGATACTTTGTAGTTGGTAGCTTCTGTGAAACAGTATCTTTTATTATTAGTAGTATTACTTTAAAAATGTATTTATTAGGACCTCCCCAGTGGCGCAAAGGGTTGAGTACCATGCTGTGAAGCTGTCTGCAGCCTCTGCAGTGAGGGTTTGATCCCCACCAGCTGGCGAGAATCCCACATGGTGTGGCAGATCTCTCCTGTCTCACCCACTGCTCCCCTCAGCAGTGTATTTCTGTTGTCTGCCTGTTCTGCTCCCTGCTCTGTCTCTGATGAATCCTCTCACCTTCCTGTACTTCTGGCCTGTACCCCAGCTCTTGTATAAAAATAAATAAATCTTTTTAAAAAATGTATTTATTGAACCCTCTTGATTTTAAAAATTCTCTTGTTGGTTCTTAAGTTTCTACACTAATCACATTTTCTATAAGTTAGTTAAAATGATAGAAAGGGGGCTAAAATTTTCAAGCAGGATAATAAAGATATATTATCATGAATGATCTTACCTTGGCTCTGATGAGATTCAGAAGTAATAAAAATTTTATTATTTCAACACCTTTGAAATAATACAATTATGAACATTTGCTTTTTTCTTGGGAACAGATCAAAAGTTTTCCCACATTCTAAACAAAATCAGGTACATTTCCCCCCCTAAATTCCTCTTCAACTAAAAATGATAAAAAGCAATTATAACTTAATTTTAATCTTTAATCCATATTTAGACAAGCCAATTGCTAACTTAATTTTCATCCTTTTCGAAACCCTAATGCTACCTATCATTTGAAATTAAGAGAAGGAAAATTTTGGATTCTTTGAACTGTTCAGACTACAGGCACAGATATAAAAGATAATTAAGGTCACTCTAAATCTTACCAATAAGTAGTTCTGCAAACAACATTATAATGAGCATTTGCTGAAAGATGTGCCGATTAACTAGAAAATTGAGACAACGGTGCTTTCTTGTAAGAAGGGATTTCAACAATGTCATTTGTGTCATTCACTGCGCAAGCAAGGGTTTTATACATTTAGCAGAAACACCGAATTAAAAAGTCAGGAAGTCTGGGTTCTAGTAGCAGTTTTATTTGTAATTAATCACATACAAATCACTTATCTATAAAATAATGATTAACATCTATTCCCTAATCACAAACACATCACAAAGCCAAAATTCTTCCCAGAAAACCTCTTTGTAAACAAAGATATTACTACTATTTCGCATATGCTTTAACTGAAAGGCTGAAAATGATAAATTGGAAAATTTGTCTTTTATAAATTGGTGGCATAACTTAATTCTGCAGATGGATAATCTAGTTGAGAGCATCACTATCCTATTTAATCTGACAAAATAAAAAGCTATCCACAAGAAGTTACTGGTAAAGAGAGTTGGCAAAATAAATAAATAAATAAATAAATAACAGTTTTGTCAAGTATAGTGCTATAACAACCCTGTGGTCATATGGAACAAAATATAGTCGTAGACAACTAAAAGCATATTTGCCGGTTTAAAGGAACACATACTGCTAGGACAAGAATCTTATTTTACTAAAAACGTTTAACAGGAATATTTTGTAGAATCTTCAAGTGGCCAATCAAATGGCTAAGAAGACCTTTTTTAAGAGGGGCAAAGAAAACTTTTTGGGTCTCCCTCTCTTGATTTTTATTCATCCCACAGTATTTCATTTAAAAATTCAGCCCAAGAGCACATAGCTCTGTACTTTACCAGAGTGTAAGAAATGTTACCATTTTGTCACTAGAGAAACACAGAAGAGGAATCACCATGTTATTGAATGAAGATTCAGAAAGATAATTATTACTGGATATGGAAAAATTTATACACTTACAAACATCTGGTCATTTATCATGTATAAATATCATAGACTTAGAGAACCATATCTAGTAAACAAACCCTCAAGAGGTAAGCACTTATATCTACTCATATTAAACAACATCAGCATTGTGTAATTTAGTCTCTCTGGACTTTCCTTTAGATATGGTGACAGAAACAAAGACTGGAGCATGGTTCACAGAGAAACATAGAACAGATACAAATACCTTAATAAAATAGCTGTGTATACCATTGCTTAGGGAAATATTTTAGACAAAACATACTTTCACTACTGGCCTCAAATGCCATCATCCACCTGCGTTATTTAACTGTAAACTTTTAATACAAAAATACCTTTAAGCTGATAATAACATTTAGTAACTTACAAAACTGACAGAATATGTCAATACCACACAAAACAGTTCTATACACAACTTAGAGTTTTAAATTCTCTGCTGGCACTTGATTTTATAATTGATAGACACAATAACTACTTATCTCAATAAAATACTGTTCTTAGCTTATACATATTTTCACAGTCGATATTACCTCACAAAACAGTAAAGAATAATCACATATTTTGTTGACAAAGTCTCTAAGATGAACACACAAAACTGTACAGCAAAAATATTTTATAATCACATAAGCTTTTATAAGACAATGGATAAAAACGTACACAATCATGTCCAGTGGAAAAAAAAGTATTTTGCCTCTGATTCAATGAAGCATTTATCAAGTATAGATAAAAAAATATGAACCAAAAACCAAGTTACTGTTTTGTTTTTTAAGGTTTTAGATAACTGATGACACTACTAGAATGAAATATTTTTAGATGGAGAATTGGTCATTTTTTGTAAATACACATTTTATATTACAAAATTAAAACTGAAATATCTTTTCAAACAGTATAAACCTGTTTTTGTTTATACTCATTTGTACTTTGTTTTTTTTTCTTTGAACTTATAGCCATTTTACATTATACAGCAAATGAAATCACATTCAGTCACATTAAACATTTTTTTTCCACGAAAAGGAAGGAAACGAAAACTTAGCAAACTATAACACAGAACATATTTTGTAAAACCCGACTAGCTTATAGTTTTGGAACTCTATTACACTATTCTGAAGGAAAATATATACTTTCAAAACCCTAGCTAATAAAACCTACCCAATCAGTTTCTGTTATGAAAATTAAAATTCAAGTTACAGTAGTTGTGGCACTAAACAGTAATAATTAACACAAATAAATATAAATAACATAAACAAAATAATATATTAACATAAATAAACATAAGTATACTAAACAATCAAATCAATGCTGGACTTGTAGAACAGTGAATTTAAATAGGTTGATTTGCGTGTTTAGATTCTTTAACATAAAATTACATTACTGTTTCCAACAAAACCCTTTTGAGACCAAACCTGAAATGAATCAACCTTCCTTTCTCCAGAAGAACGGAAAAGGTATCTAACTTTCCAAACCAGAAAAAATATACCTTAGGGTTTCCACATATCTAGAGCTCTGCTTATCCCGAGTTACTGAGGTGCTACCTGTACCCACAAATCATCATCAGATAAAGAACTTGAACTTCCTGACTCAGAATCCAGCTCACTGAATCCACCTAAGTCCCATTCAGTGCTAGACTCACTAGGAACCTCTTCTTCCTCAGTGAGGAAACTCTGACCAGACTCAAGACAGGAGGGATAAACACGAGCTGAGAGGCAAAAAAAGTTGGAATCAAACTGGAAGAGGCCTAATGTGGTACCTATATTAATCCACTGGTCTGCCCCAATGTCATATTCATATACTGTCACTCTGTTTTTTTTCCATTGTGGGGTGCGTGAGGTGATCAGCAATAATTTTTGGCCATGATTGATAATCCGGTAGTTGTTGGTCTCTGACACCATGGGAATATTATTTATCTGCCTCCATTCTCCTCGGACTGGATTATAGACCTTCATGACAGGGAGGTCGCAGATACAATAGATCTCATCATTGAAGACACAAGCTTCTTGAAAGTCATTGCGCTTAAGAGAAACACACTTCAGCCATATATTATGGCTAGGATCGTAGCAGAACATACGCTTACTGTTGAGAGCATAAAGATAGTTTTGAATTACCATTAGGTCAAAGGAGATGAAAGAATGGGGTAGTGGAGCCACGAGTACCCACTGGTTCCTCTGAACACTGTAGCATTCCACTTCCTTCAATTTAACTCCAGTGATAGGGTCTCGCCCACCCAAAATGTAAATATAGCCATTGAGATATGCCACATCCATGCCTTCCCGGCACAGCAAGCGGTCTGCAAGTTGCTGCCAACTGTTCTGGGCTGGTTTATACACCCAGAGGTCTTTCCTGGGCTGGGCGGCTAGATAAATGTCATGGTCTGGAGAAACACAGACTGCTAAGGTAGTTACAGACCTCGTGTGAGCAAGGCAGGTCACAGGTGATGGCACTTTGTAAATGTCCCCAGAATATGGGTCACAGCACAGAAAGGGATCTCTAGGGTGACCAAAGAAGATCACCATTTTCTTGGCACACACACCCAACCTCTGGGGTGGATTTTCTGCTGCAGATACAACAGAGCTGCTGCTGGTCTCTGGCTCCGGCACCAGAGACTTGTACAACATGTCACCATAGCGCAGCTGCAAAGCTCCTTCGATAAGGTCAAGGCAGTACTTCTTCACAATGGTGTTGGTCAGCAGCCCTTCCAGGTAATTCTGATCCTCATCAGTGAAGTGTGTCCAGCGCACACACTTGAAGACTTCTGCAGCGCTGGGACCCCGCTCCTTGGGAGCTGCCTCCAACCACTGCACCGCCACATGACACACTGTTTGCTCTTGCTCTATGTTTAGACAATCTAGCCGTAAGACAGTCAGCATCTGGGCCAGGGTCAGATCTGCCAGAGTCTCCTCCCGAATCGAGCCCATCTGACTAAGCTGCTTGAAGTTGTGGGCTATAAAGGCTTGGGCCTGGGATCGGAGCTTGCGATGGCCGAAGGCATCCGCGAACTTGAAGATGGCAGTGCAGTTGGTCAGGTCCAGGCGGCGGGCTAGGAAGGAGGCACAGGCTTCCCGCACATATTCAAGCTGTAGCATATCAGAGGCCGCATAAAGGCGCTCCACGTTGGCCTCACTCAGGGACACCCGGCCCGTGTAGCAGTAGTCCACCAGCACCTCGAAGGACTCGGCGTCCACATCGTGCATGGTCACGCTCGCCTGCTGGCTCTCGTACATGCCGCCGGTGAACATGCTCTTGAAGTAGGGACACGCGGCGGCCAGCACGTTGCGGTTGCAGGGGAAGAGGCGGCCGGTGCCAGGCCCACTGCCAGGCGTGACCACCTCGATGGTCACATCGCACAGCAACCGCGCGTCGTAGAAGGACTTGAGCTGTGCCAGCAGGGCGGCCGAATGGGCCGTGTCCTTCAGCTCCTCTGGGCCAGTGAAAAACGCCGAGACTGTGGGCTTGTGAATCCTCTTGGGCCGCTTCCCACCGCGGGCACTGGCCAGGCGGCGAGAGCGCGGGGCCTCTTCCCGGGACTGCATGGTGGCGATGGCGGCGGGGTGCCGGGCGAGAACAGGTGCGCGGGACCGGCTCCGGCTCCTCCTCAGCCTCCGCTCACTGGCTCTAAGCTCTGGGTGTCTCCGGAGAGACTGCAGCACGTGTCCATTTACTAATTCAGCCCCACTCCGCGGTGCCACCTCCCTTTATTGCGTAGACCGTGTCTGACTCACCCTTTTCCAGCTCTGCGCCCTTTCTCTCCTCAGCTCGCTCTCACAGGAGCCGCTGGCTGGAGCCAAGAAAGCCGCTACCGCTGCGTTGGCAAAACCGGTAGGCGTCCAGGAGAACTACAGCTCCCAGGCTGCCTTTCGCGCCTCGAGGCATGCCGGGCCCTCAGAGTAATGGGCTTAGGCCGCTGGACAGAGGCCGCTATGCATAACGGGAATAGTAGTTTCAGTAATCTCGCGAGATCGAGGCCGTTCATTGTTTCGGCTGACGGAATGAAAAATCGGTAATTCTCCTCGATTCGGTTTTACGGTTTCGAACCCGGGGTTTGGAATCCGCGTTACCCACCCGTTCTGTGTTTATCGATCGTTTGCCTTCGCTGTTAGAACTGTGTCCTGTGTTTAAAATATGAATAGCCGTAGTATCAGAGCGTTATGTGACGATGGAGTTAAGAGAAATTGCGTCGGGTAGTGCTCGCAACGTAGAATATTAGACTAATTAATAAGGTATGGTCGCGGCACCTATGATATAAGGTTTCGTCTAGCGTTTATGCAAGATGAAGCGTCCTCTGATTTGAATTTGTGAAACTGTTGGAGTTTAAAAAAGAAACCCTGCAGATTTCTTTAGAAATCCCTTTGGGTTTTTTTTTTAAATTTTTTAGATCATTTTTAGGTTCACTGTATAGAGTAGAAATTACAAGGAACTCAAATATACGCCACCCTTTAACAGTTCCCCTTATTAACAGCTTGCATTGGTGTGTGTATTTGTAACAAGAAATGAGTTTATACTGATAACGTCGTTAATTAAAGCATATAGTTTATAACAGGGTTCACTTTTTGTATTGTAAAATATATGGATTTTGGAAAATGTACAATGTGATATATCCACCATTACAGTAACAGAATGTTTCACTTCCCTAATAATCCTGTGTTCAGTCAATTTATGCTTCCTCCTTCTATCCCATACCAAGGAACCACTGATTTTCTTACTGTTCATATAGTTTTCCCTTTCCCAGACTGTCAGATAGTTGGATGTCTGCAGTATGTAGCATTTTAATCTCTCTTCTTCCTAGCAATATTCATCTTCCTAGCAATCTGTCTTCTTCCTAGCAATATTCATTTCCGTTTCCTCTATGTCTTTTAATGACTTGATAGCTCATTTTTTTACCATTGAACAATATTCCATTGTATTACATTTTACTTATCTATTCACCTGCTGAATGATGTGTTTGCTTTGAATAAAGTTGTGAATAAAGCTGCTATTAACACTCATCTGTTGGGTTTTACATGGATGTAAGTTTTCAGCTCCTTTTGGTACATACCAAGGAGTGTGACTGATGTATCCTATCAGCTTTGTAAGGAACTGCCAAAATGATTTCCAAAGTGGCAGCTGTCTTGTTTTGCATTCCCAATAGTAATTAATTATTGTTCCACATCCTCCCTATTATTTGATCTCGTCAGTGCTTTGGATTTTAGACGTTAGAGATTTTAAACTTGCCTCTTTGGAAAAGTTTTGAAGGATAATATTTTAAACATCAGCAATATCTGCAAGTCCACTAAATTGTATTCTTAGCAGTATGTATGATTGTCTCAAATATGCAAATCAGAAGTACAAATAGATGCTTTGGTGATCTTAGAAAGCCAGTATTTCATATTCAAAAAGCAGTGCTAAAATATTTTCACTAAGCTCTTAATGTGATTATTTATAACTATTTCAGTAGAGCTCCTTTCACTGCCATCCAAAATCAAATGAAGGTTTTGGAATTGTAGTTATTAAATTTAAAATAAAATTATTTCACCAAAGAGATCTTGTTCTGCACAAATTCCTTAGTGTTCAGTGTCATACATGCCCTACTATCCCTTTAGTCTTACCTATGCTGTCTAAGGTGTTTTACAGCTGTATTTATAAACATTGTCTCAGTACAATTGACCCTCTGTATCGATGGGTTCCATATCTATAGATTCTATCAATTTCGAGTCAAAAATACACGCTATAGGGCCACCCCAGTGGCAAAGCGGTTGAGCGCTGGGTTGTGAAGCTGCCCGCGGCCTCTGCAGCGCCGGTTCCATCCCCGGCCACCAGCGAGGGTCCCACATGGCGTGCAGACCTCTCCTGCCACCCGCTGCTCCCTTCATCAGTGTGCTTTGTCCCTCTGCCTGTTCTGTTCCCCGCTCTGGCTCTGGTGAATTCTCTCACCCTCCCGCGCTTCTGACTGTACCCAGTGCTTGTATAAATTAATAAATAAATCTTTAAAAAAAAAATACACGCTGTAGTTAGTTACACTTATGATGTTGTAAATGTACTGACCTCTAAACTTCTTTTTTGTCATTATTTCCTAAATAATACTGTGTAACAACTATTTGCATAACATGCACACTGTAGTTAGTATATAAGTAATCTACAGATGGTTAAAGTATAAGAGAGGCTGTATGTAGGTTATATGCAAATACTATGCCATTTTATACAAGATATTTAGGTATCCAAGAATTTCACCATCTGTGTGGGGTGAGGGGTGTTCCTGGAACCGGTCAACAGGGAATGACTGCATAAAATCTTTAAAAAAAAAAATTGTGCTCAGTTGTTGAGTTTTAACTTCTTCATCTCTGCCCTTAACACTGTTATTTGCTTTAGATTATTCATCACAAAATGGAAAATACTTATTAGACACTGTGCTGTAAGGCCTGCAGCAATATTGTTCAATAGAATTCTCTGTGATGATAAAAATATTCTATATCTGTGCTAGTCAGTGTGGCAGCCACGAAGCACAATGTCTCTTAAGTTCTTTAAGCGTGACTAATGCAGCTAAAGAACTGAAGTTTTGATTTCAGAAACATAGCACTGACAGCAACTATTCAATGTGGGAAAGGAAAATCTTTTCAGCAAACTGGGTGATGGAAAAAAGTTAACCTTGAAACTGACAGTGCTCAACTTTGCCAAATCCCTGTGCTCCAGGAGGACAGTGATAATTTTGAAATTCCTTCAGGTTTTTTTTCTCCCCCAATTAACCCCTTTTTGCATTCTGATATAGCTTATGATAACCAGCCACCTTTTTCCCATATGACTTACATAAGGCTCACTGACCACTGTTTTTCATGGCTATTGTAATACTCACAGATGACCTCTTATTTACCTTGTGAGAAGGTTAAACACAAATCTTTCCATTTTTGCCTGAACCTGCTGACAAGGTCAAAAACTAAGTCTCTAATTTCTAGTCTTTTGTCTTATGAATGATTAACAGAGTAAAAGCCTGCCCAAACTAGCCTGATCAAAACATAAACCTTTCCAGTTCACCTGAGAGACTTATGGTTACAAAAACAATCTTAACTGTAATCCACTCCACCATTTCATGTATAACTTGTCTAACTTCTCCCTATAAAAGTCTAAGGCAGAATGGCCATACCTTTGGATCTGAGCTATTCTCTATATTGCAAAAGTATAAATAAAATCCATTTCCTTTCTTGTTTGTTTTGTCTTTAACTGTTTGGTATCATTACTGGAATGGAACTAGAAGCCCAATTCTAGGCCCTATTTTCTCCACCGAGGTACTGAGATCTCTCCAACTTCAATGCTGCTTCCAGATTGGCAATATGAGGATCTCATGGTAAATCCAGCTTTTGATCCATGGGCTCCAGACAACTGTCCTTGGTAGCAAAGTAAGTATTTGACTTTGGTTCTTTGAGCCTTCCCTTGGTTTGGTTTACTGTTAGCTATTGTTTAACTTTAGTATTATGGGAAACTCTCAACCTACTCCTTAATACTCTTAAAAATTCACATCATTTATATGTTTCATCACTAAGGTAAAAATTCAGATCATCACCTCCTCAAATGGCAAGATTTTACTGAGGACAAAGGATAACTTATAACTCCAGTGGCCCCTCAGGGATACTTGGAATCTCCCTAAACCTGTCTATCTATAAGGTACCCTCAAATCTCAAGACTTTGAGATTCCTTCTCATCAATGTTCAGCTTACATTGCTTGGCATGAAGCAGCTCAAAAATAAGAAAATGTCTGTAAGTCTACCTCAAACTGTATAGTTTCCTAAGGACTTTTACCATCATCACTGATCTTATTCACAAGCCTGTCCTCACCCAGAACTCACCATGTCACAAACCAGCCCTTTCTTCTACCCTTGATTCTTCCTTTTTTTTTTTTTTTTTAGGATTTATTTCTTTATACAAGAACCAGGGTACAGGCCAGATGCGCGAGAGGGTGAGAGAATTCACCAGAGACCAAGTGGGGAACAGAACAGGCAGACTGATGAAATACACTGCTGAGGGGAACAGCGGGCGAGACAGGAGAGGTCTGCTGTGCCATGCGGGATTCTCGCCGGCTGGCTGGCGGGATCAAACCCACGCTGCAGAGGCTGCGCACAGCTTCACAATGCGATGCTCAACTGCCTGCACCACCAGGAAGGCCTGATTTCTCCTTTTTCTGATTCTCTTTTTTTCCCCTTAGTTTTCTTCCCTTAGTCCTTCTTCCTCTTTACCTCTCCTTGCCTCCATTAAATTCTTTGCCCTGAGCTCCCCATCCAACCCTTATTATTGATCCTTCCCACCTGTGAAAGAAGGTAAAAAACCTGTATACCCACATGAACAAGGTGTTTTTTTAGTCCTTGACCTCACTCAGATTTACATGTTATTAAAATCCTTCTGGATCCTGATAATAGAGAAGAATTTAGTAATCAATCCAGACTTATCCTTGTGGCAGATTCTCCTGATATCAATGATTTATATCAACCTGTACAACTACTAGTGGATATACCTAGAGATGCCATTTTATTGTTTGGAAAAAGTAAATAGATCACTTTTCAGGAGGACCTTTAAATACATCAGAACACCCTTGAGGCTGATGTGCAGAATAAAACCATCACACAGAGGACTTTTTAAACCCATTCCCATTGTCTTTCTTCAAAAATTGATTAAAGATACAAGACTCCAGAAAATAAAGGTAAGAGGGCCTCCCCGATGGCACAACGGGTTGAGCGTGGTGCTGCGAAGCTGTCCGCAACCTCTGCAGCGTGGGTTCATTTCCCATCCTGCCAGGGAGATTCCCACATGGCGCGGCAGACCTCTTTTGCCTTGCCCACTTTTCCCCTCAGCAGTGTCTTTGGTCAGTCTGCCTGTTCTGGTGCCCGCTCTGTTTCTGGTGAATTCTCTCACCCTCCCGCACCTCTGACTGTACCCAGTTCTTGTATAAATAAATAAATCTTTAAAAAGAAAAAACCCAAAGGGAAGAATATGTCTCTAACTAAAGACAACATTTAGAAAAAAGTTTGGAATGGCTTCTTTGGTCTCACTCCTTTTTTTAAAAGATTTATTTTATTTATGCATACAAGAGCTGGGGTGCAGGCCAGATGTGCAGAAAGGACCCACCCAGGACAGAGTGGACCAGCTCCCTAGCTGGGAATCGAACTCATGCTGCGGTAGCTGCTGATAGTTTCACAATGCTGAGACTTAGCCCCTTGAGCCACCAGGGAGGCCCTACTCTTCCCTCTTTTATACACAAGAAGAAAGGCGAACGCATATCCTTGTTTTCAGATTAGTAGCTTTTCTCTGCAAACAGGCTATTTCCACAACGGAAGTAAATCTACTACCAGAAAGAATTTTCCCGACTTGAGGACCCTTTTGTTCTTCTCTAGTGATAGAACTCATTTCAATAGTAAGGTTATTCAGTATTTCCACTTGCAAAACCTACTGTCATTACCACCCTCAATCCTCTGGAAAAATGAAACAGACCAACTGTGTTCTTAAATTCAAACTAAGCAAACTCTAAAGAACTCAGTCAGCCCAAAGTCTTCTACCTAATCATTATCCCCTTATGAGGGAATACTGGCAGGCTTTACCTCTTCTGGTCCTCAGATGACTTGTAATTTGATCCGATGCAAAATCTATTCTTAAATACTGCCAAAGTCTTACTAAATACACTTCATACTTATTGTCAACACACCAGGTTACCTTTCCCACCACATTGCTTTACGTGATTTTCAAAGTGAAGATTTCATCTTCTGAAGAAATCAAAAAACTAATCTTGAATCCAAGTTTCAGGGATCTTACACTGTCCGAACCACCAACACTGCTGAAAAACTACAAGGGGTACTACATGTACTTCTTTCACAATTTAAAAAATAGAAAACAATTACAGTTTCACATGTGTGGAACTTGGAAGTCACCACTCTGTCCTAACAAGTAAAAAGCTAAATTGACTTAAAATCAACAACTCTTACTAAACCCATAAGAGAGGGAAGGACACAGGGCAAAATTTACCAAGATTGGAGACACAGACAGATGAATACAGAGAGTCAAGGCTTACCTGAGCAGAGGCCTAGGAGTAGAAACTGACTTTGCAAGAGAGGAAATCTTGAACTATAATTGAATAATTGCTGGATGCTCGTGAACGACAAGTCTACTGTTAAAAACTCCAAGTGATCCAGTCATGAGAGGCAGGGGACATAATGTGAGATTTACCTCTAGGAGCTCGACCAGTTTTCACTGTTCATATGGAGAAATATCCTCTCATACTTCTCGCAGGGAGAGGGGAGAAGGAACCATTTTAAAATACACCAGAGCACGCTGTCCTTAATAAGGTCTGTCCTCAGGTGATGCTGTTTAACTAGAACTTAACCATCTGGGATCTAAACATAGCCTAACTAACCTAGAGAAGAGAAAAACCCAGTTCTCCTCAGCCGTAGCCTCCCACATGGGAGAAGGGCAATATGTCATCCCAGCCAACTCTAGCCATTCTGTCTCACCTAAAAGCAAGGGGGAAAATATACATTTTCTCAACCCATTCATCTATTGGTGGACTCTTTTGCATATTTTAGCTATTGTGAATAATGCTGCAACAAAAATAGGAGTGCAGATATCTGTTCAAGATACTGAATTGGGATTGCTGAATCATACTGTAGCTTTATTTTTAATTTCCTGAATAATCTTCATACAATAATCTGAATAATCTTCATACTGTTTTCCATTTGGCTATACAGTTTAAATTCACACCAACAGTACTCTAGACGTCTCTTTTCTCCACACCCTCTTTAAAATTGTTATCACTTAGTGTTATACAGTTATCTAATCTTCTTTTGCATGTGGCTGTCCAGTTTTCCTAATACCATCTGTTGAAAAGGTTTTCCTTGCCCCATTGTAATCACTTGCCTCTTTTATCATACATTAGTTGTCCATTTTTGTGTGGATTTATTTCTGACCCCAAATTCTGTTCCATTGAGCTATGTGTCTATTTGTAGTCCCAATACCATGCTGTTTTGATTTTTTTTAATTTTATTTATTTATTTTTTAAGATTTATTTATTTATTTATACAAGCACTGGGTACAGTCAGAAGCCCCGAGGGTGAGAGAATTCACCAGAGCCAGAGCGGGGAGCAGAACAGGCAGACTGATGAAATGTGGGGATGAAATGAGGGGAGAAATGGGTGCGGCAGGAAAGGTCTGCACGCCATGTGGGACCCTCGCTGGCGGCGGGGGATCGAACAGGCGCAGCTTCGCATCCCAGCGCTCAGCCGCTGCGCCACCAGGGGAGGCCCCTGAGTATTTTTTTTTTAAGATTGATTTATTTATACAAGCACTGGGATACAGGCCAGAGGCGCAAGAGCGTGAGAGAATTCACCAGAGGCAGAGCAGGGAGCAGAACTGGCAGAAGGACCGAAATACACTGATGAGGGGAGCAGCGGGCAAGAGAGGAGAGGTCTGCCGTGCCATGTGGGAATCTCCCTGGCCAGCTGGGAATCGAACTGGTGCTGCAGAGGCTGTGGACAGCTTCACAGCGCTGCGCCCAACCCGCTGCGCTTCTGGGGAGGCCCCTGATTATTATTGATATATATAATTTGAAGTTAGGAACCATAGAACCTCCATTTTTGTTCTTTTTATCTCAGGATTGTTTTGGCTATTCAGGCTCCTTTGTAGTTCCAAATAAATTTTATGATTTTTGTTCTATTTCTGTCAAGAATGTCATTAAGATTTTGATAGGAATTGAATCTGTATATTGTTTTAGGTAATATGACCATTGTAATGATGTTAATTCTTCCAAGCCATAAGCACAGTATGTCTTTCAATTTCTTTGTTTCTTCTAGTCCCTTCAACAATGTCTTATAGTTTTCAATGTACAAGTCTTTCACCTTTGGTTAAATTTATTCCTATGTATTCAGTTCTTTTTCATAGGATCATAAATGGAATTTTTTCTCCTGATTTCTGTTTCTGCAGGTTTATTATTTGTGTTTAGAAATGCAACAAATTTTTGTATATTAATTTTGTAGCCTGTCACTTTACTGCATTTATTATTTCTAACAATCTTTTTATTGGTATGTTTGAGATTTCCTATGTTTGTTTTCATCTCATCTGCAAATAGTGATTGTGTTTCTTCTTTCTTTCCAATTTGGATGTTACACCTTTAACTTCCTCCCTCTACTTTTAATCATCATTATCTTGAGTATAGGTATTGTTATAATTTTTCAATCATCAAATATGAATTTTAAAACTCATGATTTATAAAACATACCATATATTACCAATGTAGTACTTTATATGTATTCCTATTTCTGCTTTTTTCTGTTGTTCCTTCTTCTTTCCTAATATAACAAGACATCTCTTTTATCATTTTTTCCCCAATCTTTTAGGGATAACCTGATAGAAACAGTTTTATTTTTTATTCACCTGAGAATTTATTTTATTCAGTCCTTGAAAATGGTTTTGCTGGATGTGTACTTTGCATTTGACAGTTCTTTTCCTTTAATGCTTAAAAAACACAGTGCCATGTTCTTCTGTTCTTCATAGTTTTGGATGAGAAATCCACTATTGTTCATATTGATGTTATCTTAGAGGTAATGCATCATTTCTCTCTGGCTGCTCTCAATATATTTATCTTGACATTTACAGACAAGAAAATACTACAGAAGATACATGTAAGATCCTTTTAGGGTCCCTACCACTAGAAGATAGACTCTGCCTTTTAAAAACTACATTCATAGTTGGTTGAATGACTCAGATAAGACTTGGTTTATTGAAAATAGTAATGAGTTTTCTATGATGACTAACCCAGTATAATAAAATCCTTCTCAGTTCCTGTCCCTAAAATATAAGAGGATTGAGAGGGATGGAGAAGTACCTTATACTGAACCTTTTCAGGCTCAAAATTGGAAATATCACTTTTTGTAAAACTATTATCATTTGTTAATTTAACATAAGATTTAAAATTTAAATTAAACAAGAAGGAGATGAGAAAATATTTGGGCTATAATTGAGTCCTTCGCAGTTCTTTATTTTGCAAAAATTATGTTTCAAAATTATTTCCTTAACAATTTGGTCAGAAAATCTAACCAAATTCATAGATATATGTGGAAAGGACAAGGACTTAGAGGAAATATGAAAAGGTTAGTGAGTCATACTGCTTGCGGTGTTTTTCATAGCACTTACTGCTTTGAATAGATTTATTTCCTTTCTCAGTCTCTCCCATCTTCATAAAGGAAAACCTCTTGGTACTCCGGTATAATATGAGAAATGTGATTCATAGTAGTGTCATTATTTCAGAACTGAAAATACTGTTTGGTCTTCTGGGAAAATAAGTGCATCAAAATTAACTTGTAGCTCTGGAGGCCAGTGGGTTGCTATAACAACAAGAAAAATGGCGCAATAATAGCTTGCCCTGAAAGCTTACAACTCACTAAATGATGAGCTCTGTAAATGCAGGTATCTGTCCTATAAATGCAAACATGCACAAAACATATTAATTTATTTCTTCTTTCATGGGAACTCTATGTCTGGCTCCATTCTAGGAATTGGTAAAAAAGATACATGGTCCCTCTTATGATAGAGTGCATATTCTAGTGGAGGAGACAGATAATAAGGAGCAAATAAATCAATACACTAAATAATTCCAGCATGTGAGAATGCAAATAAAACAGGGGTTTTATTTGTTGGACAAAGTAGAGTGTAATTACTCCAGTATAGGATATAGATACAATATAAATCTTGACTTTAAGGGCATGTGAACTTTAGTAAAGGAATAAGGTACTGAGTCTTAAGAATTTTTAGTACTAAAAATAGAGAAACACTACTAACTTTATTATTTTGGCTAGGAGAGTTTTTTTCCACTTTTTAAAAGATTTATTTATTTATGCATACAAGAGGTGGGGGGGTGGTGAGAGGATTCACCAGAGACAGATCGACTGAAATACAGGCAGATGGACTGAAATACACTGCTGAGGAGAGCAGCAGGTGAGATGGGAGAGGTCTGCTGTGCCATGTGGGTAGCTGCCTGGCTGGGGATCGAACTTGTGCTTCAGTGGCTGTGGATAGCTTTGTAGGTTGCCTTTTAACCTCTTGCCCCACCAGGGAGGCCCCTACTGATTTTTTTTTTTTTTTTTGACAAATGCCCTGCATGTTTTCACAGAGTATACTCTGAAATAGGTAAAATGAAGACAAATCCAGATAATGGAGCTTTTCAGTGAGCTATCAAACTGGTCAACTAGTGACAATCCTCTGGGATAGGCCTTTGAGGGAGCTCCAAATCCATTCTGTTTGCTCCAGAGGCTGCTAAACTACTGTTTTTCATTATTACTGTACTTGTGAAGCTGTTGTAATTGAAGACTTCCAAGGAGCTGGGAAGAGAGAGGTGGGATCAGGATATGTTAAAACACCATTAGTGTTACTATTCTCACCAAAATTCAACAGTTGTTTTTTTTTTTAAGATTTATTTATGCATACAAGAACTGGGGTACAGGTCAGAGGTGTGTGTGTGGGGGTAGGATTCACCAGAGACAGAGTGGGGAACAGAACAGGCAGATTGACTGAAGTACACTGCTGAGGGGAGCAGCGGGTGAGTCAGGAGAGGTCTGCTGCGCCATGTGGGTTGCTCCCTGGCTAGCCGGGAATCGAACTCATGTTGCAATGGCTGCGGACAGCTTCATAGGTTGCATCTTAACCCTTGTGCTACCAGGGAACCCCAGCAGCTGTTATTTTTAATAAACATTTTTTGGAATTGTAGGCCTGTAGTTAATTTCCAGTGTTCCAATAAATTTATTTTGAGAGTTTGTGCTGTTTTCATTGCTTTTTTTTTTTTTTTTAGTGCCCATAATGACATCTCTCTCTTTTTTTTTTTAAATATTTATTTATTTATTTATACAAGCACTGGGTACAGTCAGAAGCATGGGAGGGTGAGAGAATTCACCAGAGCCAGAGCAGGGAACAGAGCAGGCAGAGTGATGAAATACACTGCTGAGGGGAGCAGCGGGCACGGCAGGAGAGGTCTGTCGTGCCTTGTGGGACCCTCACCGGCAGCCAGGGATCTAACCGAGGCTGCAGAGGCTGCGGGCAGCTTCGCAGCCCAGCGCTCAACCGTTGCTCCACCAGGGGAGGCCCTGGTTTCATTGCTTTTATGGAGGAGATTTTGCGGGGTTATTGTGGCACCATTCAGATTGAATTACTGATACACAAGATAACTTGCATGAATTTTAAGATGTGCTGAGTGAAGAAAAATGATCTCAAGAGGTATCATACTATATAATTACATTCATATAGCACTCTTTAAGTAAAAAATTACAGAGATGGTTTGTGGATCAGGGCTTCACAAGGGTTTAGGGAAGTGGGAAGGGAAAATGCTCTGACTATAAAAGCCTAGAGCAAGGAATAGATGTAATAGAACTATTTTGTATTTTTATTGTACTGGTGTTTTAATTTGAGAGAACTAAATATACACAAGCAAATGAGTGCATGTAAAAGTGATAAAGTGAAAAAAAGTGACAAAATGTGAATGTCTTTGATTTATATCAATGTCAATTTCTTGATTGTGTTACAGATACACCTCCGTGAAGGGGAGGCACAATTCCCCCCACACCCACTAAGATACAGCCACCTTGGATTACAAATCTCAGTATGCCATGAATTGGACCTCCCAAGCTGGGGAGGCAGTAGGAACCAGGGTTGGAGCTGAGTGGCCCGGTGAACCTATGTAATATGGAAGGCAAGCAGGCCTGCTCTTTCTTTTCTGGTTTCGACTTGCCTCCAGAGACTTGGAGGAGTGTGGAGGAGAGACATGTAGAGACACTTGGAAGGAATAATTTGGAAGAGACATGTGAGTGAGAAACATATAGGGACTTGTGCCTTGGCAGAGACAATGGCAGCCATTATCTTGATTTGTACTTTGATTTTTGTCTCTTTATGTCCCAGCCTAACCCCTTACTTGTTCCTTACCAGAAAGTACCTTAGACTGTGACAAGTTCTTATGCCTCAGTGAGCCCACTTCAGGCTGACCTGGTTTGGCTGGGCATTTGCCCAAGAGGGATGGATAATTTTGGGTATTTTATTGGGAAACTATTAAGGAAAGCCTTTCTTGTCTATGTACACTAATTCTATTAAGAATATTTAACACTAATACTCTGCTTCCTTAATGCCTTTGTGTGGTAGATGGCTGAATTATTTTTGAGTGTGCATCCCTTAACAACTTGAGGTCTGTGGGTACCCCTCAGTCACACACTAACAATTGTAATACTGAAGTATAGTTAAGCAAGATGATACTCTTCTAGGTGAAGAGTTTATGAGATCTCACTTTATTCTTTTTTTTTTTTTTTCGAGTCAGGGTCTCGCTATGTTGCCCAGGCTGGAGTGCAGTGGCTATTCACAGGCGCGATCCCACTACTGATCAGCACGGGAGTTTTGACCTGCTCCGTTTCCGACCTGGGCCGGTTCACCCCTCCTTAGGCAACCTGGTGGTCCCCCGCTCCCGGGAGGTCACCATATTGATGCCGAACTTAGTGCGGACACCTGATCGGCATAGCGCACTGCAGCCCAGAACTCCTGGGCTCAAGCGATCCTCCTGCCTCTGCCTCCCGAGTAGCTGGGACTACAGGCGCGCGCCACCACGCCCGGCAAAGATCTCACTTTATTATTGCTAACAATACATAATAATATCAAAATAAAAATTTAAAATGATTGTTCATATTGAAAAATTATAATTGTGAAACTTTTACATCACATATTTGAGAATAGTAATTATTCAAAATACTCTGGCAGCTATTTTGAAGTTTTCACAGCTACAAAGTGGTATTGTGTGTGTATGATGAATATAAGCGGATACTCCAATTAATGTGAAGTTGGCACAAGAACTGGGCAGGCCACTAAGTTTTGTGTAGACTAATATGGCTAATGATCTAGGTTTTTATTGAACAGGTAATTAGGTTACATGTATACAATACTGAAAAAAGTATTATTCAGGCACAGAAAATGCTAGAATATTGGTATATCACCTAATTTTTGAGACGCACCCCCTTCCATAAGGAATTCTATATAGGTGAGGCAATTTTTGGTTACTTTTAAAACTGAATTGTAGAGATGTAGGTAAGTAAAAAATACATAGTTATGAATAATCCTAGGATAAGCAAAATAAAACAAAGGTATGTCAATTTGCTCTGGGACATACTGGAACCTAGTTAAAACTGAATATAGTATATTTCTTATCTTTCCTATAACTAAAAAAAATTATATTCTAGGGTCTAATATTTTATATATTCTTAAAGCAGATTTCAAAGTACTGCTCATAAAATGTGTCCCCAGGATGCTAGTCCAAAAAATGTAATTTAATTTTGTCATGATTACGTTCAAAGCAAAATGATTTTTTAATGTTTTATATACTGCAAGATTTGAGAAATTTTCCCACTTAGAGCATTTTATTTTATTTTTTTTTTTAAAGATTTATTTATTTATTTATACAAGCACTGGGTACAGTCAGAAGCACGGGAGGGTGAGAGAGTTCACCAGAGCCAGAGGGGAGAGCAGAGCAGGCAGATTGATGAAATACACTGCTGAGGGTAGCAGCGGGCGGCAGGAGAGGTCTGCGCGCCATGTGGGACCCTCGCTGGCAGCCGGGGATCGAACCAGCGCTGCAGAGGCTGCGGGCATCTTCGCAACCCAGTGCTCAACCACTGTGCCACCGGGGAGGCCCTCACTTAGAGCATTTTAGAGGGATTCATGTTTTTGAGATGTTAGTATGTGTTTATCCAGAGGCCTATATTCCAGATACTATTTTATTTTACTGTTTATTTTTAAATTAATCTTATTGAGATTACAGTATCTGAACTGATTATTGTAACTGATGGTCAAAAAATATAGTACTAAAATATGAAAATGTATAATTTGCTCAGGTATGCTCAGGTTTTATTTTGAACTAAAAACATTTTTTTATTTCTTCCTCAATTCTGTAATGTGACTTTGCTGCAAGTTCAGGCCTTTCTTTATCCAGAGTTCTTAGTAAGAATGGAGAAATTCCAGACTGACTATCCTACGGTACATCATATCTATATTGGCAAATCAAATAACTATCAAGCAGAACAATAGCAGTTTTACTTTCCAAGTCCTATCTTTGGCTTGGGTGCACACTGGGAAAAAAATGGTGTAGATTTCATCATAAATGCTACTCAGGAGGCAAAAGGGTATACTAAAGAGTGCTTGATTTAAGAGACAGAAAACACAGTGCTAATTCCACTTTCACTAGTAACTCATAGTTTGACTCGGTCTGTTATTTAAAGGTCTTTGCATTGAACTAAAGCAGATCTCTACTATTCTGATTTTTACTAACAAAAAAATCACGAATCAGCTGGTGATTGAGAACAATATTCATGCCATTTAAAGGTTATTTTTTATTTATTTTTTAAGATTTTTATTTATTTATACAAGAACTGCCATACAGGTCAGAGGCGCGGGAGGGTGAGAGAATTCACCGGAGACAGAGCAGGGAGCAGAACGGGCAGACGGACGGACGGACCGAAGACACTGCTGAGGGGAGCAGCGGGCAAGCCAAGAGAGGTCTGCTGCGCCTTGTGGGTTTCTCCCTGGCTGGCTGGGAATCGAACCGGCGCCGCAGAGGCTGCGGACAGCTTCACAGCGCTGTGCTCACTCAACCAGCTGCGCCACCGTGGAGGCCCCAAGGGTTATTTTTTATTTATTTATTTATTTTTTTAAGATTTATTTATTTATATAAGCACTGGGTACAGTCAGAGGCGTGGGAGGGTGAGAGAATTCACCAGAGGCAGAGCGGGGAGCAGAGCAGGCAGAAGGACCGAAGTACACTGCTGAGGGGAGCAGCGGGCGGCAGGAGAGGTCTGGCGCCATGTGGGACCCTCCTCCCGTGGCCGGAGATCGAACCAGAGCAGCAGAGGCCATGGGCAGCTTCGCAACCCAGCGCTCAACCGCTGCGCCACCGGGGAGGCCCAAGGGTTATTTTTTTAAATTGAAATTTTAGTAGTATATATTATATTGTTAAGATCTAGTTCTATGTTATAGTAACTCTTCCAATCTTATTTTTTTTTTAAGCTCTGCCCAAGGCAATTTAATTGCTGTTGAGTGGGGAAGAGATGAAGTAGACCCTGTGCCTCCAGCTTCACAAAGTTTACCAGTTAATAGGTTCACCCTATCCTCAAGCACACTTCCCCATGTTGCTTGTAAAGCCCCATGCTTATTGCAAAGCCTTGTATCCTAACTCAAAGAGATATAAGCTCCCTGAAGTCCAAAGCCATACCTAGACATTCATTCCCATCTATACCAACTCTCCCCCTCTTCCTCCAGTTTTGTAGAAGAGGGGTCTTGATTCTGTTCCACTATAATCCTGCCACTTGTTCTTTGCCAACTGGGCAGATGCCCCTCATTAGTCTATGATTTTTGCCCGAGCCAGTCCAGTGTTTTAGAATCATAGCAACTAAAAACACAACCTAGATATTCTCTCCCTCACTAAGAATTGCCTCTCTCTCCACAGAACAACCCATGCTTGCTGTTTGTACTTTTCTCTCCTCTTACCATGTGAGGGAAGCTAGATTACCGTGGACATTGTCAGTTGTCCTGCTGGGTGTCCCACCATCTGGATTTGGCTGATTCCTTCTTAGTGTTCTTAATTTGTCCTTCTGGCTGTTATCTTTCTTGTAAACTGAAGTTTGTTCTAATGGCTGAATTAGATTCAGGTTCAACATTTTTTGGTACTTTATTTTTTTTTTCTAAAAAACAAGAGTTTTCTTTTTATGAAAACTACTAATCTTATACCTGTATAGGAAAAACCTCAGTTCTCCTTCCTTTGTCTCTTTATGTTCACAGTACTACCACACTCACACAGGAGGCTTCACTTCTGACATTTCTGGCCATCTAATGTGAGTTTTTTTAATTCACACCAAGAGTAATTCTCCACAATGTTAGCCGAGTGTCCTACAGTTTAACTCAATTCTGATACTATCTATGTGGAGATAGTGTCAGATCCTACAGGTTAAGGGCTTAGTCCCACAAAACTTCACTCCCCACAAAACATGCCATTTGCTAGTAGTAACTACCCAGGTTACCCAGAACTTGTGTCAAACTTGACTACAAAACAGAGGTTCCCACAACTCCTCTAGGTATTGGGATTCAGATGATAGGGTTCACTGCATGGGGTTCTGGGATCCCACTGAGAAATAATTCAGCAAACTTTCCCATTCATCAGCACACAACAAGTTAAGAGAAAAAAGGAAAGAGATGCCAGCAATCTTAAAAGAAGATCTGCATTTTGAAAGGCTTAAGTTTAAGAAAGAGACACCTGCGTAGACACAGATGTGCAGACAGCTGCATTTTGCCAGAGCAAGGGGTGTTCTTTTATAGTGTTCCTTGATGAAATTACTGTGGAATTTATTGCCTTGGGGTCAGATTGGCTTGATCTTCTATGATTGATAATCCTCTTTACCCCTACCTCTAGCTGATAATCTTTTCAGATCCCACCTCAGATTTCTGGAAACTTCTAGAGTGATTTAAGATTCATTAATCATTCCTACCCCCACTTCTGGTGTTTATCCTTGTGAGATCTTACATCCTGTTCTAAGCTTCCATCACTTGGGGTATGATTAATTTGCTAGCACAGCTCACTGAAATACATCTACTAGTTTATTAAAGGTGATTAAGGATACAGATAATTTTGACTTAAGCAAGGCCTTTCCACACAGCCACATGTTTATTTGTCCTTGCATTTTTCCAGGTCTGTTTATCAGTGTCTTTATAAACATGTGGTTGATAACTTAAGTGCACCTGCTTTTCCATCAGTCAGGATCTTTACAATCTCAATACATACAACATCTCTATTAGGATCACTACAATATTAATATATGACACAAGGATTTTGGTAAGTTCTATAAATAGTATTTCCTTTATCTCACAGTTGTCATGTTAGAAGAGCTATGAGACTTAAATTTATGTTTCTATTAGAGGGGAGTAAATCCATATTTGGCTTGTGGCTAATAAGGTTTTATCTCATTCATTCTAATCTACTCTTACCAGACTGCTGCCCACAAGCAGTTGTTCTAATAGAAACTTCTTTGTAAAATACTACCAATGACCTTCTTACTGCCAAGTCAAATTTCTGTGATGTGACATTGTTAACTCTACCCTGAGAGTAATAGAAGATGTGTTACTGAGTTGATTACTGCTGTGGAAGATGGGGGTCCATCAAGATGGGGACCCTCTGATCATGCTCAGTGAAATAAGCCAAAAAGAAAAAGAAAAATACCGGATGGTCTCACTCATAGCAGGAATCTAGAAAACTTAAATAAGGGACCAGGAAAATGAATAACTATAAGAAAGTGAAAATCAAAATCAACAAAAAACTATGAACCAGAGACACTTTTTTGGGGGGCGGGGGCGGGAGGGGAGGGATTGGGGTCAGAATGGGGGGGCTGCAATTGTATGGGGAATATAACAATAAAATTTATTATTAAAAAAAAAAAAAAGATGGGGACCCTCTAAGGATCTACATGCACTTCAGAATTGTCCCTTTCTTAAAGTTGGAATGCTGACACAAGTATCTACTAATTCTCACCCTCTGTTGCTTAAGGACTGCCCTGGGAGTATTTACTTCTCACTTGAATTCCTATGCTGTGGTTGCAGCTGTGGTGTCCAGAAAAGGTCCTTCGGAGAAAGCCCTGAAACACCACACATACACACACACACACACCCTCAAAACAAAACTAGAGTAAGGTAGGCTGGGAGTGTCTGCCATAGCTGCATTTGAAATCAGAGGTTGGTTGAAGGGTTGTAATGTGGGTCACCACACGCATCTACCAGTGTCTCTAAATCTGGTCTGACTCCCATATTCTCAAATTCACTGAACCCAACACCATCCACTTAGTCACCTGGGAGAGAGACTGCTAATTGCCCAAACACTTTCCTTTTCTTGCTTTTAGTAACAGTAAGAGCTTTAAGTTGGTAGGCTTGATTGGTAAAGAATTGAGGGGATTGGGCCTCCCTGGTGGTGCAAGGGGTTAAGCATCGCACTATGAAGCAATCCACAGCCTCTGCAGCATTAGTTCAATCCCCAGCTAGCCAGGGAGCAACCCATATGGCGCAGCAGACCTCTCCTGTCTCGCCTGCTGCTCCCCTCAGCAGTGTATTTCAGTCACTCTGCCTGTTCTGCTCCCCACTCTGTCTCTGGGGAATCCTCTCACCCCACCCCCTCCGCATCTCTGGCCTGTACCCCAGCTCTTGTATGCATAAATACATACATTTAAAAAAAAGAATTTACCCAAAGGACATAGAATCATTAATTCAAAAGGGCACCTGCACCCCTATGTTTACAGCAGCACTTTTTACAATAACTAAGCTATGGAAACAGCCCAAATGCCCCAAAATAGATGACTGCATCAAGAAGATGTGGTACATATACACAATGGAATACTACTCAGCAGTCAAAAAAGATAAACTCACTCGTGCAATTTGCAGCAACATGGATGGAGCTGGAAGGGATCATGATCAGCAAAATAAGCCAGAAAGAAAAAGAAAAATACTAGATGGTCTCACTCATAGCAGGAATTTAGAAAACCTAAATAAGGGACCAGGAGAAAGACTAATTGTAATAAAATAAAAATCAGAATCAACAAGCAACTGTTAAGCCAGAGACACACTCTAGGGGGGGGAGCAGGTAGGAGGGATTATGGCCAAAATAAGGGGGGTGGGAATTGTATGAGGACTATAACACCAAGATGAAAAACCATACATTTTGCAAAAATGAAAAAGTAGTAAGGGATTTAGGGAAAAGATTCTGAAACACTGAAGGCTTAATTCCTGCCATTTCTAGGAAAAGCTGGACTGAGTTAGGGTTTAATGACAAGGATGTGCAGGATGTGTGTGCGCCTGTGTGTGTATGTGAAAGGCACTGAGAGATGCCTATTTGGTAAAACAATTTTTCAGCATTATGTGGAATTTAACTTTTGGACGTGAATTTATTGTGGAAGGAAGATTTGAGATGACCATCATAGCAATGCAGCCTGCATGGTTTTGTGAATTGTCGTGTTTAAATACAGGAAGCCCATCTACTGACAGCATTTCCTAGTTGACTTTGCAGTTGGGTATGATGATAGGGTTATGTTTTCCCCAATGGAAAAATGACAAAAGTTCTTTAAAAAGGACTTTTTAGTTAAGTCCTTATTTAAAATAATATTTCTTCTTTCCTACAGGCTGCAACATAGATAAAATTTTGGTGAGTGCATGTTTCCCAAGAGGATGTACACAACACGCTAGAGTTAGGGAGAAAGCTGTAGGAACCTGGCCTCTAAACAATCTCGAGGTGGGACAGAACCACCTTACCAATAAAGGTGGTTATGCTCGCTTCTACACTGAATGGAGAGAGACATATTTCTATCTTATATTAAAGGGCCTCTTTGTATAGAAGTTTGGTCTATACTCTAACATATTAGCCAAGCAAGAAACTTGGCTAATAGTATAGTTCTTTTCTCACACAGGCTACTGTTACCTTACCCACAAACAATTATAGGTCCAGTTTATTCTTTTAATGTTAGCTGGAGTGGTGAAAAGCTATTAAGTAGTCATAGGAAAGACATGATGAGAGAACAGAGGCAAAGTAAAACAAACAGTTAAGAAGCAAGCAAATAAATGATACCAAGAGTTCAAATGTAAAACAGACTGTAGATGCCTATATTCTGGTTATCACACTTTAAGATTTCAAAGAGAAGTAATCTCAAAAAGTTTAGATGACTGACATAGAGCTGCAAACTTTATCCATTTCCAATTTATGAACATTAAAACAGTTAAATAATTTTAGTTTACTACTCTTCAATCATGTTTTATATTTTTCCCTCATTTTAATACAAACTGGTAAAAATGACTTTTGGCAAAGTACTGGTTCCTAGTTTAACGAGCAATGTATAGCAAACTGATTATATTTTCGACAATATATTTTTATAGTATGCATAGCTTTATTAGAGCTGTGCTGTTTCCCCTGTGAGGCAATTTATAATGCTTAGGTCAGTGTTCCCCAAACAGTTTGCACATTTTACCAATTTACAAGTCTTTCCTTCTTTTCTTGCCAGACAGTATAACAAGAATTTGTTTAACTAATTTCAGAAGCTCAGAAGAAACTTAAAAACTATAACACTTGTTCACACTTTTATTTATTTTTTTTTTTAAAAGATTTATTTATTTATTTATTTATTTATTTATTTATTTATTTATTTATTTATTTATTTATTTATACAAGCACTGGGTACAGTCAGAAGCATGGGAGGGTGAGAGAATTCACCAGAGCCAGAGCGGGGAGCAGAACAGGCAGAAGGACCGAAGTACACTGCTGAGGGGAGCAGCGGGCGGCAGGAGAGGTCTGCGCCCCATGTGGGACCCTCCTCTGGTGTCCGGGGAGCAGCCAGGGATCGAACCGGCGCTGCAGAGGCTGCAGAGGCTGCGGGCAGCTTCACAACCCAGCACTCAACCACTGCGCCACCAGGGAGGCCCTGTTCACACTTTTAAATAGAAGTAATTGATTTGAAACTGTAAACATAAATTGGGTTAATAAAAAAATCCTTAAAGCAGATTGCTTTTATTCATTCATTCATTGTTCAAACTAGTAAGTATTAACAATATTCTATGCCAAGTCCTTTGCTAGGTGGTCTTTTTAATTTTCATCTACAAAATGAGAGATACCTTCATTACTGAGTCATTGGCTCAATTAATGACATAAATAGCATGCACAATTGTTTAGCAGTTAATGTTAGCAACTATCATTATCAACACTATGCTATGCTACTTATTATGTTAGAGGTTTATTTTTGTGCTTAGTTTAGCATTGTAAACATGATAGTAAACATGGAACTCAAATTTTGTAGTTTACATCCCTGTATACTCAGCAGGATATAATATTGGATATTGAAACTTTACAAGAATCATCTTATTTGGGGATTAGCAAAATATGGGCCCAAATTATCTTTGAGGCCTCTGGAATATAAGAAGATTTTTTTTTTTAATATCAAAAGAAACCACTAAGTGCTATGCATCAGACATTTTTCTACAAACCACACATACACATACTACAGCTCAAAGTGATGTCATGAAGTAGGTTCTGTTTTTCTCTATTTAAGAATGATGAACTAATGAATAGGGAGAAGTTAACTTGTTTAAAGTCACTTAAATAATTGGTGATAGAGTGAGACTCTGAACATAGGCAGTCTGACTCCAGAATACATTTAAGCACAAACATCGTCATTCGTAGGTCATTTTATGGCCAGAGCACTTGTGGATTCAATTTTACATCTTTCATCAGCATAGATTATCCTGTTTCCTTTACATAACAGGAATTTATCTGTAGTTGTATTCTTTAATTAACTTTTAACTAAGGTAATATTGGGGTGTAAATTGCATTTAAAAAAAATTTGTGAAACCAATGAAATTAAAATTCCAGTCCAGTAAAGAATATTTTTGTGTTGTCTGAACATTTTCACTGTATTACAAATATATTAAACTAAAATTGTTGTTCCAACTACCTTATTTAACCTCCACATTAACCCTATTTTTATCTCACTTTACAAGATGTTAACTGATGTTCAGGGTTAATTTACGTCACACAAATACTAAGTAGCAGAACTGAATTAAGATTACTTGACAAAGTATACTATAGACTTAACCACTATGCTGCACTGCCTACAAGTTATCACTTCACTCCCAGTAAATATTCACCACTCCCAATAAAAGCGCAGAATGAAGTGTTGCTTTTAGAACTGCTATGTAATATTTTTAAAAACATTTTATTGAAATAACATTGGCTTATAACATTATATATTTTTTAAATGTACAGCATATAAAGCAACATCTGTATATACTACATTTTGTTCACCACCAAAAGTCTAGTTTCTATCTTAACTATACTTTTAAAAGATTCCTCATAGGTAGAAGCTCTTTTCCAAACCACATGTTTAACAGCTCATTATGAGATAAAGAATTCTTGCTGTGATGTCAGCAGTTTGAAACATCTGGACCATATACATGAGACCTAATATATACACAGCCTTCCTAGACAATAGTCATATCACATTTCATATACATTTGCTCATCTGACTCATCATTTTCAATCATTCATTAACATTTAGTTATTTCATGAGGAAATTTGCATTTCAGAAATGTCAGTTTTGCCTTTGTTCTATCATTAATAGTCACATCCCTTTCAGATGGTAAATGTATATTATTTCTATGACTTTATTTTAGGAACGACATTTCCCCTTACAAGCATTTGAGCAACATTCCTTGTGAAATATTTAGAACTGTTCTTGAGACATTGTCCTAAGTGTTCTTACCCTGGTGTGTGGAAGAACTTCAAAAGTGTCATAACAACCTTGAAATTATGAAAACATGAACATGCACATTTTCCTGGGGAATGGGTCATAGGCTTTCATCAGATTCTCAAGAACCAGGTATCAAAACAGAAAAAAAAGCCACTACTCAACTAGAAATAGAAAGGAAACTCTAACTTAAATTTAATTCTACACTCAAACAAGTTGTTGAGTAGTCTTTTATCCTTTTGAAAACACCAGTCATTTATCATTCGAATTTTTAAAGTACTTGAAATAACTTGGATTCTCTGAGCTTTTCAGACTACAGGCACACAGATTAAAAACAAACCAACAAATAACCAGGATCATTCTAATCTTACCAATAGTAGTACTGCTATATACATTATAGTGAGCATTTGCTAAAAGATGTGCCAACTAATTCTAAAACTAAGACAAAGGTACTTTCCTGTCAATAGGGCATTTCAACACTGCCAGTTGTGTCATTAACTGTGCAAGCAAGAGCTTTGTACATTTAGCAGAAACAGTAAATTAAGAGGTCTGAAGGTCTGGGTTATACTGCCCCTTTTATTTGTAACTAACCATGTACAAATCACTTATCTATAAAATAATGGTTAAAATCTATTCCCTATTCCCAATATATCATAAAACCAAAATCCTTCCCAAGAAAACCTCTTTTTAAAAGATATTACTACTTAGTAACTTATACTTAACTCAAGAGTTGAGAATGACAAACTAGAGAATATGTCTCATAAATTGGTTGCATACTTTAATTCTGCAGATGGATAATCTAAGATCAGCATTGGCCTGTTTCAACTATACAAAAAAAAAATTTATAAACAAAGATGTTATTGGCCAAGAAAAGTTCACCAAAAAAATAACACTATTTAAATAATTTTCTATATCAAGAGCAGTGCTTATAACATCCCTGACACTGAATGGAAAAAAGTTACTTTTAGACCAAAAAGTAAGTGTGCCTTCTAGAAGGAGCAGGCATCACCAGGGCAAGAATTTTACTGTACTAGAAATAATGTTAAACAAGAATGTCTGGTGAATTCTTCAAATGAAAATCAAAATAGCTAAGAAAACATGGTTTGTAATCTTTTTCTTCTTCCTTTTCTCTTTTTCATTCAAAATTCAGTTCCCCATCTCTGAGCACACTTCTCAGTACTAAGCCAGGGTGTAAGAAATGTCAGCATTTGATGACTATAATGATTGAATAACACAGAATAATTAGCAAGCTACTGAACAAAGCTTCAAGAAGATAACTCTAAGTGGGTACAGAAAAATTATAGACCATAAACATTTGTAAAAGTATACGATTTATCATGTGTTTATGTAGTGACAACCAAATGTATTAATGGACTCTCAAAATGTAAGCACTTATATATTCATATAAGCAACAATGTCAATTTTATGCAATTTAGTCTCTATTTCTGGACATTTCCTTTATATTATGGTGACAAACAAAAAAACCAGAAACCCAAACTGGATCATAGTTCACAAGTAACCTAGTAAAATAACCATGTATGCTGCTGCTTACTGAAATATTTTAGAGGAAGCATACCTTCACTGTTGGCCCCAATGTCATCATCCACTTATGGATGTTTTATAATTGCTCATTTTTAATACAAAAACAACTTCAAGTTGATAAACATGTACAATAACTTAAAAAACTGATAGAATCTGTCAATGCTACACAAAACAGTTCTATGCACAACTTAATGGTTTAATGTTCTCTTCTGGCACTTTAGAGTTGATAGACACAATAATTACTGATTTCAGTAAAATACTTTTAGCTTAATTATTTTCAAGACCACTATTGCCTCACAAAAACATTTAGAATAAATCTATTCTTGCTAAAGTATCCCCTAGGATAAATACCAAAAGTATACACTTAAAATAATTTTGGAAAGTATATAATCTTTTTAAGATAAGGCATGACCATGGATGAAATTTACATTACCTGGTCATATGTCCGGTGAAAAAGGATTGTTCCTCTGACTCCATGAAGCCTGTATCAGTTATAGATTAAAAATATGAACTTAAAAGAAAATTACCTGTGTGTGTATGTGGGGGGGAGGGTGGCTAGAAGATTATTTAAATAATTGGTGACACTACTAGAATGGATATTTTTATGATGGAAATATGGTCACATGTAGCAAATACGCACTTTATATTCCAAAATTAAAAGTGACATTTCTTCTAGAACATTGAAATTTACTTTCTTTGAGTTCTTAAGATCATTCTGTACATGAAAATGAAATCACTATTCAATAACCTTTACATATTTATCTCCAGGTTTTTGTTTTGTTTTTTGCAGAAGGGAAAAAAATCAAACCAAAATTTAACAAGCTATATTAACCTAGAATACTAAGACATTACATTCAAAATTTGGAAAATCTACTACCTTCATTATTCTAAAAGAAAAATACAAACCTTCAAATCCTACTAACCTTAAATCCAATTTTATAAAATTTAAGAAGTTAAATTCCTAGCATCACTAAGTAGAATTCAAAAGTTAGAGAAAACTGAGATAATGAAATAGAAACTAAAACAACTTGTAAAATAAACTTAAATGATGAAAAAAAATCCCAAGTATTCAAATCAATTATATAGTTCATCTTTGCATATTTTAATCTCAACTTTTTGCACAGTAAATTATTACATAGGCTGATTTTGTGGACTGTTTAAATTGTGTAACATTACATTAGTAATCCATTGTTACCTTTTATAAACCAAATCTGAGTCCTAAACAACTTTTTTCCTTACAATACATTCCATAGCAGTAATAAACATCTTAGTGTTTCAAAATATTTACAAAGAACCCTGCTGATGATCCTGTGCATTTAGCTGAGGTGCTACCTGTACCCAAACTTCATCATCTGAAAAAGAACTTGAGCTCCCTGACTCAGAGTCCAGCTCACTGAATCCATCTAAGTCCCATTCAGTGCTAGACTCACTCCGTGCATCATCTTCCTCAGTGATGAAACTCTGACCAGGTTCAAGGCAGGAAGGATAAACACGAGCACAGAGGCAAATGAAGCCAGAGTCAAACTGCAAAAGACCTAACATGGTACCTATATTAACCCACTGGTCTTCCCGAGTATCATATTCATACACAGTCACTCGGTTTTTTTTCCACTGTGGGGTGGTAGAAGTGATAAGCAGCAACTTTTGGCCATGGTTGACGATCTGGTAGTTGTGGGTCTCTGAGTCCAAGGGAATATTACTAATCTGCCTCCATTCTCCCCTGGCTGGGTTATAGACCTTCATGACAGGGATGTCACAGATACAATAGATCTCATCATTGAAGACACAGGCTTCCTGAAAGTCACTTCGTTTAAGAGAAGCACAGTTCAGCCACAAATTATGACTAGGATCATAGCAGAGCATGCGCTTACTGTTGACAGCATAAAGATAGTTCTGAACCACTATCAGTTCAAAAGAATAGAAGGAATGGGGTACAGGTGCCACCAGTGCCCACTGGTTCCTCTGAACACTGTAGCATTCCACTTCCTTCAATTTAACTCCAGTGATAGGGTCTCGCCCACCCAAAATGTAAATATAGCCATTGAGATATGCCACATCCATGCCTTCCCGGCACAGCAAGCGGTCTGCAAGTTGCTGCCAACTGTTCTGGGCTGGTTTATACACCCAGAGGTCTTTCCTGGGCTGGGCAGCTAGATAAATGTCATGGTCTGGAGAAATACAGACAGCTGAGGAGGTGATAGTCTTAGTGTGAGCCAAGCTGGTCAAAGGTGATGGCATTGTGTAAATATCTCCTGAGTATGGGTCATAGCAGAGAAAGGGGTCTCTAGGGTGTCCAAAGAAGATCACCATCTCCTTGGCGCACATACCCAGCCTCTGGGGTGGATTTTCTGCTGTAGATACAACAGTGCTGCTGCTGGTCTCCGGCTTTGGCACCACAGGCTTGTACAACATATCACCATACCGCAGCTGCAAGGCTCCTTCGATAAGATCAAGGCAGTACTTCTTCACAATGGTGTTGGTCAGCAGCCCTTCCAGGTAATTCCGATCCTCATTAGTGAAGTGTGTCCAGCGCACACACTTGAAGACTTCTGCAGCGCTGGGACCCCGCTCCTTGGGAGCTGCCTCCAACCACTGCACCGCCACATGACACACTGTCCGCTCACTCTCGATGTCCAGACTATCCAGGCGCAGGACAGTCAGCATCTGGGCCAGGGTCAGATCTGCCAGAGTCTCCTCCCGAATCGAACCCATGCGGCTAAGCTGCTTGAAGTTGTGGGCTATAAAGGACTGGGCCTGTGATCGCAGCTTGTGATGGTCAAAGGCATCTGCGAACTTGAGGATGGCGGTGCAGTTGGTCAGGTCCAGGCGGCGGGCTAGGAAGGAGGCACAGGCTTCCCGCACATATTCAAGCTGTAGCATGTCCGAGGCCGCATAAAGGCGCTGCACGTTGGCCTCACTCAGGGACACCCGGCCCGTGTAGCAGTAGTCCACCAGCACCTCGAAGGACTCGGCGTCCACATCGTGCATGGTCACGCTCGCCTGCTGGCTCTCATACATGCCGCCGGTGAACATGCTCTTGAAGTAGGGACACGCGGCGGCCAGCACGTTGCGGTTGCAGAAAAAAAGGCGGCCGGTGCCAGGCCCACTGCCAGGCGTGACCACCTCGATGGTCACATCGCACAGCAACCGCGCGTCGTAGAAGGACTTGAGCTGTGCCAGCAGGGCGGCCGAATGGGCCGTGTCCTTCAGTTCCTCTGGGCCAGTGAAAAACGCCGAAACCGAGGGCTTGGAAATCCTCTTGGGCCTCCGCCCACCGCGGGGACTGGCGAGACGGCGAGAGCGCGGGGCCTCTTCCCGGGACTGCATGGTGGCGATGGCGGCGGGGTGCCGGGGGAGAACAGGTGCGCGGAATGGACTCTGACTCCTCCTCTCTCCAGCGCTAAGATCGCCGCGTCCCTTCCCAGCCTCCAGCAGGGGCCGCACTAACTTCAGTCTTAGCCACGGTGTCGCCTCCTTTTATCGCGTAAACCGTGTCTGACTCACCCTTTTCAGTTCCGCGCCCTTTCTCAGCCTCAGCTCGCCCTCACAGGAACCGCTGGCTGGGGCCCAGGGAGCCGCCACTGCCGAGCCAGCGAGACCGGTAAGAGTCCGGAACCACGACTCCCACGTTGCCTTTCGCGTCGCGAGGCATGCTGGGGCCCTCCAGACTCGTGGCTATTGGCTGACAAACAGAAGCCGCTTTGCATGTTGGGAGTCGTAGTTTGAGAGTTCTCGCGAGGTTTCTGGGGAGCTGGCGTGCTTTAGCTAACAATTAGAGACGTTGGTTCGCGGTTGGTGGTTTAGAGCTTTGGCGTGGGAGTCCCTGGTGGCAGCGCCCGTGGGGTCCGTGAACTTCTGTCTCTTTGAGAACTTTTCTCTCTTTGTAAAATGGGGGGCATAGTATTTCCTAGGGGTGTGAGAGGATGGAATGAATAAATTACATAGATTCTATGAGGCTTCAGTAACTATTTGTTGAGTAAAACAATAAGTGTTTACGCCGTACCTAAAACATTGCCTACGCCCTACCTGAAAACCTCATTGTCTCCGCCGTCCCTGAATACCTGGAGGGGTCAGTGTGTGGTTTTATTCCTTGGGGAAAGTGAGACACCATGAGTAATTTCTGCAAAGAAAACGTCCAGTTGTTAAATGTTGCCTCTTGTAAGTTGTGAAGGATAGTAACAGTATTTTCAATATTAAAGGATATCTGTAGATTTATTAGGATCTCTTAGAACAGGGTTGAGGTCCTAGAGAACAGCTTTCCAGATGGCACATGTGCAAATCAGGCGCATATATAGACAATTTGGCATCTCAGTCTCTTCCTAGCGAACAGAGATTTTTTTCACTAAGCTATTAGCATGAGCATCTTCAAATGAAGTTTAATTTCTCTTCCACCCATCAATCGATGTTTCTTTATTGGAATTGTCTTTATTGAGGAGAGTTTTTTTTTATTTTTTTTTTTGAGAAGAGTAAGTTCTGTGCTTATTTATTATTTATTATATTTATTTATTTTATACAAGCACTGGGTACAGTCAGAAGCGCGGGAGGGTGAGAGAATTCACCAGAGCCAGAGCGGGGAACAGAGCAGGCAGAAGGACCGAAGTCCACTGCTGAGGGGAGCAGCGGGCGGCAGGAGAGGTCTGCGCGCCATGTGGGACCCTCCTCCGGTGGCCGGGGAGCAGCCGGGGATCGAACCGGCGCTGCAGAGGCCGCGGGCAGCTTCGCAACCCAGTGCTCAACCGCTGCGCCACCGGAGAGGCCCTATTGAGGAGTTTTAAAGGAGAATTTGAAGTAATATTTATTTTTTTTATTTATTTTTTTTTTTAAAGATTTATTTATTGATTGATTGATTGATTGATTGATTGATACATGCATATATACAAGCACTGGGTACAGTCAGAAGCGCGGGAGGGTGAGAGAATTCACCAGAGCCAGAGCGGGAAACAGAATAGGCAGACTGATGAAGTACACTGCTGAGGGGAGCAGCGGGCGGCAGGAGAGGTCTGCGCGCCATATGGGACCCTCCTCCGGTGGCCTGGGAGCAGCCGGGGATCGAACCGGCACAGCAGAGGTTGCTGGCAGCTTCGCAACCCAGCGCTCAACCGCTGCGCCACCGGGGAGGCCCCTGAAGTAATATTTAAACTGACGTGGTGTTACAGAAGCACAAGCTTTTTAGAGCTCAGTATTAATACATGGCCTCACTTTCCTTGAATTAATGTAATACAGTCCTTACTCTACAAACGTTTTACACTTATGATCAACGTTTTCCATTATTAAATCTTCAAAATCGAGTGCTTCGGTGGTGGTTTGTTGTTAGAAACTCTTATTTCAGCTTCATTTAGAGAACTGTTCCTACTGTTGGCCATATGGTACCATAACCTAACGAATTAAATCATCAGTGTTATATGAAAAGGCAGATATCACCTAGCAGGAGAAAGAGTCTCAACTTGTTTTTCTCTTTTCACCTATAAGCTGAGGAAAGTCTATAGTAAATACTTAAGAGTATGGATAGTAATCTAACTGGGTTTCTGAGTTCTAATATCTTTTCTGATAACACCGGACATAATTCTGATAACACCAGTTGTTTTCTCATCCGCACTAAAAATCAGCTAAGGAAAAGCAATTTTTAAACTATTTTATATTTCTGGGCCTCTGCTGGTGGCACAGCGGTTGAGCGCTGGGCTGCGAGGCTGCCCGCAGCCTCTGCAGCGCCGGTTCGTTCCCCCGCCGCCGGCGAGGGGCCCACAAAAAAGAAAAAAAACACAAAAAACTATTTTATATTGCTAAAATATGCATTAACAACATTTACAGAATTAATAATTTTAAGTGTACATATCTTTGGCATTAAGTAGATCCACATTGTTTTTGCAGTGCCATCACTCATCTGTCTCAGAAACTTTTCATCTTGCAAAACTGAAATTATATACACATAATTACAACTCTCCTTTCTCCCTGTCCAAACCCCCTTAAAATACTATTCTACTCTGTCTCTGAATTTAACTATTCTGGGTATCTCATGTAAGCTCAATGATCGATTTTTATTGTCCTTAGTTATTTGGTTTCCATAACCTTCACAGAACCCAAAATATTTAGCAGGTCCTGTGTTCTAAGATCTAGAGCAGTGCTGTCGTAGAACTTTCTGTAATGTTGAAAATATTTTATATTCACTGTCTGATGTGGTAGCCATAAGCCACCTGTAGCCCTTGAGTACTTGAATTATGGCTAGTACAACTGACGAACTGAATTTTATACAAGAACTGGGGTACAGGTCAGAGGCGCGGGAGGGTGAGAGGCTTCACCAGAGACAGAGTGGAAAGCAAAACAGGCAGACTGACAAAATACACCACTGAGGGGAGCAGCAGTAGAGACAGGAGAGGTCTGCTGAGCCTGTGGATTACTCCCTGGCTGGGGATTGAACTTATGCTGTAGTGGCTGCAGAGACTTAACCCCTTGTACTACCAGGGAGGCCCTTAAATGAGTTTGGTTTTTTTTTGTTTGTTTGTTTGTTTGTTTTTGTAGAAATCATGGTTAGGGTTATATTTCTAAGGTTTTATTTCCTTGGATAAATGTTTCTCTTCCATAAAATGTCTGAAAACAGGGCCTCCCCGGTGGCGCAGCGGTTGAGCGCTGGGTTGCGAAGCTGCCCACAGCCTCTGCAACGCCGGTTCGATCCCCGTCTGCTCCCCGGGCACCGGAGGAGAGTCCCACATGGCGCGCAGATCTCTCCTGATGCCCGCTGCTCCCCTCAGCAGTGTACTTCAGTCCTTCTGCCTGCTCTGCTCCCTGCTCTGGCTCTGGTGAATTCTCTCACCCTCCCGCGCTTCTGACTGTACCCAGTGCTTGAATAAATAAATAAACAAATATTTTTTAAAAAAATGTCTGAAAACAAAAATCAGTTTCTGTGTTTCTTTTACCTTGAAACTCATCACTCAACTCGACATTCTTTCACAGTTAATTATTCTCCAGAGGGCCTCCCCAGTGGCGCAGCGGTTGAGCGCTGGGTTGCGAAGCTGCCCGCAGCCTCTGCGGCGCCGGTTCGATCCCCGGCTGCTCCCCGGCCACCGGAGGAGGGTCCCACATGGCGCGCAGACCTCTCCTGCCGCCCGCTGCTCCCCTCAGCAGTGTGCCTCGGTCCTTCTGCCTGCTCTGCTCCCCGCTCTGGCTCTGGTGAATTCTCTCACCCTCCCGCGCTTCTGACAGTACCCAGTGCTTGTATAAATAAATAAATAAATAAACAAACAAACAAACAAATAAATAAATAAATAAATAAATAAATAAATAAATAAATCTTTAAAAAAAAAAAAAAATTATTCTCCAGAGACATTGGTTATCTTGTGGGTGGCAATGCCTACCTCTGGAGATATAATGATATTGTTTCAAATAAAACTAAATTATCTTTCAGCTTAGATAAAATAAGAGGAAAACCAGCGGAAAACTTTCTTAAAAGAATTCCAGCTAATAAATACAGACGAATGAGGATTACCATTTTATAGTTCCCAGTATAACAGTTGATTACCGCAAGCAAGAACCATTAATTGATGTTAAATCAACGAGATGAAAGGTCATTGGATATACAAGTTACATTTTTTTTAAGATTTATTTATTTATGATTACAAGAACTGGGGTACAGGCCAGAGGTGGGAGGGTGAGAGGATTCACCAGAGACAGAATGGGGAACAGAACAGGAAGACTGATGGAAATACACTGCTGAGGGGAACAGCAGGCAAGACAGGAGAGGTCTGCAGTACCATGTGGGTAGCTCCCTGGCTGGGGATTGAACTCGCGCTGCAGAGGCTGCGAACAGCTTCATAGCACCGCGTTCAACCCCTTGCGCCACCAGGGAGGCCCACATGTTACATATTTTGATATAACAATTCATCCTAATAATTAGCAGCTGAAAATAACAAACATTAATTTACTCAGTTTGTGAATGCTACTCAGGTATCCTGGAACAAAGGAGTGGGGTGCCTATGGTTCAAGAACTCTCCTGAAATTACAGTATTGGCTAAGGTCACACTCATTTCAAGACATGACTAGGGCTGAATGACTTGCTTCAAATCTCATTCCTGTGCTAGGTGATGGGCTTCTTCCTGGAGGGCTGTGGAAATATGGGGTTCAGTTTTGCCAAATAATGTGGGTCACTCCACAGGACTGCACACAACATGGAATAACCCAAGAGAAGAGCAGACTGAGAAACAGCCAGAAGAAAGTCTGGGTTTTTTTTAAAGATTTATTTATTTATGCGTACAAGAACTAGGGTACAGGCCGGAGGTGTGGCGGGGGTAGGGTGAGAGGATTCACCAGAGACAGAGTGGGGATCAGAACAGGCAGATTGACTGAAATACACTGCTGAGGGTAGCAGCGGGCGAGTGAGGAGTGGTCTGCTGCGCTATGTGGGTCACCTCCCTGGTAGGAGGCCAGGGATCGAACTTGTGCTGCAGTGGCTGCAGGCAGCTTCATAGTGCTGCATCTTAACCTCTTGCGCCACCAGGGAGGCCCCTGGAAGAAATTCTTTTTATACTCTAAAATCAGAAGTAACAACCCCACCACTTCTATTGTATTCTATTGTTAGAAGCAAGTCAATAAATCTGGTCCATGTTCAAGGCCAGATTACAAAAGAGCAAGGAATCAAAGGTTGATATGACACCAAAGCATTCCCACAGTTTTCGTGCTCATTTTTAA